GAAAAAATAGATCCCTTTCTGGACTTTGTATCTAGACCAGAGTTTATTCAGGATGTAGCTTATGGGACCAGAAATATCAAGTTAAGCTACGGTGAAAAACTGGAAATTCCCAATGTTATCCGTACTGTTGTAGTGTCTAGGATCATTGAACTCTACATAGCCTACTGTGATGAAACCGGCTTTAAACCACTTGGTAGATCCTCGTTATACTCAATTATCCAGGTAAATTGAAATTTTGTGTGTAAAACTCACCTAAGTAAATATGAGTAAAATAAGTAACATTCAGTGTACTGTTTCAACGCCGTTCACCTAGATTTCTAGTAAACTGAGGTTACTGAGTGTACTGTACAGTCGAGTCACTGTTCTCCTAAATCGACTTACCTGACCGTCCATTCCATTACTCTGCCAGTCATGTTCGTCCATGTTCACCAATAATATAATCAGACATTTAGTCGTATATAGTATTCATTTCATTACTCTGTCTTCTTTTTCAACTATTGAATGATTGAAGGGTTTGTTGTTCTTCAACAGGTATGCGCCGCCTCACAGCAAAAATCTGTTGCCGGCCTTGATAATATTGCCGCTGAAGCATCAGAAGCGTTCAGCAACTTACTATCCATGGTGGAATCATTTGGAGAGCTAGGTAAGTTGCAGATGTAATAGGTCATCTCATGTTATGTAATCAAAATCCTGTAGGTACACAAACTAATGCTTTTAGGACTAGATCGCTTTTCGTCCAGTGTTGGGTTGGGGGAGAATTTTATCTACGCACACTTCAGGTATCAGTCAATTTTGTAAAATGATCACTGTACGATCATTGAATCGGTAACGCCGTGTTACTGATCCCACCTGTTCTCTGATCCTCCAAAATCATCAAATTCGGACAACATCTGTGGCCAGACGCGAATGGGATATCATCCGAAAATTTTTCTCTAGTAAAGTACTTGTTCTCATCTTTCAATCAAATATCATTTTGAAATAATGCCAGTCTCAAAAGACAGCTAATAGAGGTAAGAATCAAGCAAGGTATGTTAGATTTTCGGTAACGCCACATTCTCCAGTCTCGGGCGTTACCGATTCCTGGAAGTGGCGTTACCGAAAATCTTGTGTACCTTGCTTCATTCTTACATCTTTTTGCTGCCCTGAAAGACCTACATTGTCTGAAAAAGATATTTGATTGAAAGATGAAAACTTTACTAGAGTACTTTACTGGAGAGAAATTTTCAGATGAAATCCCATTTGCGTATGGCCACAGCCGTTGTCCGACGTTGACGATTTTGGAGGATCAGAGAACAGGTGGGATCAGTAACACCGGAATCGGTAACATGGCGTTACCGATTCAATGGTCGTACAGTGAAATGATGTGGCTCTCGATGACAACAATCTCCCTTCATCAATGCTCATTCATATTCATATGTTTTCAGGTGCGAGTCGTGCCCTCACTGATGACCTGAAGCTCAAATTAACCTCAGCCAACAAATACATGAAAACAGACTTCAGGTTAAATTTGGAAGTGACGAGCAGCTGCATCAATCACTGTATCACATACGCTCTGAGTGATGGCACGTTATGTGACCATGAGCATGAGTTATCCTGCCAGCGGTGTATGGGAGTGGAAAGTGTTTTAGACCGCATAGAAAAATTGGTCCAATCAGACACACTGAAGTACAGGTGAGAATGAAAAAACAAGCCACTTTTCCATTAATACAAGTCCTCTTTCATTAGTCATTTTGTTTCCAGACGTGAATTTCTTGTTCAATGTATCTTCAATGATTTTCATTCATTCGTAAATAATAATGCAAAAAATGTAGCTACAAAAGTGTGAGTCGTTATTTTCAATTATATATTTCTTGACTGATTATGTCTTCTCAATTTTACAGCTATCCCCAACAGCGCGAAGAAGTCATACATGATGTCGTTGTTGCCAGAACAAAAATCAGCCAGCTGCGATCCCACCTCGTACGAGCTAAAAATCAGGAGCGGTCTAAGACAGATATCATTGACCAGCTGAAATCAGACGAGGCCCATGTAACTATGGACTGGGCGATGAAGTTCCTACCAACAAAATTCTGTGAGTCCCAACAGGAATGGTATGGGAAGAAGGGGATCTCATGGCACATCACAGCTGCCATCACCAAAGCAGCAAATGAGGAATTGCGGGTATGTTGAATGTAACTCCTGAGAGAGGTTTCGCAGTCATACGAAATTCTTATTGATTTGCAATTATGATAAGTGATGCTGGTTTAGCTCATCAGGATCTTCATATTCTTACTGGTATCTATGCAACTTTGTGTTCTTGTTTCGTCTCTTGTGAGTGCGATACCTCTATTAGATACCATTATGCAATCATAAAATCAGTTGAATCACATGTGACCAGCTCCAGCTCCATTTTACAAGCGGCTATGATTTTTACCGTCATTTCTGAAAAAACGACTCGATGCCGCTCATTTTGGCTTCTTCTTCTCGTTTCAGATCCATTGTTTTGTTCACCTGATAGAACAGTGCAGTCAGAACTGGTACGCAGTCCTCACGGTACTGGAGCAGTCTTTATTAGAGCTCAAACGGCGCATTATTGTGATCGCTACAGTTTATCTAAGATCCGACAACGCCGGCTGCTACCACTGTGCACCATTATTGTTGTCGTTGCCGTCTTTAGGAAAAAGAGTCGGCGTGAATATTAGTAGGTATGACTTTTCTGAAGCTCAATCGGGAAAGGACCTTTGCGATAGGAAGATCGCACCAATGAAAAGTCATCTGCATCGGTATATAAACCAGGGACATGATGTGGTATCTGCTCAACAGATGTGGGAGGGTCTGAATTCAGGTGGTGGTGTGCGCGGCTGTTACGCTGCCGTATTACATCTTGATGAAGACTCAATGGTTGATCGGATAAAATGGGCAGGTATCACCAAGTACAACGATTTTGCCTTCGAAAGAGACAGTCTGACAGTTTGGAACTGTTACAAAATTGGTGATGGCAAAAAATTCCTTTACAAGAACTTGGTCAAAGATTGTACTGAGCTTCAAGGCGATACGAATGCACAAGTCGGGAATTACTCTACTCCCAAATCAAGCACAGGACTCGTGGCTTCAAAAACTGACCAATCTGTTGAGATTAGTTGCATTGAGTCTGCCTGTATCAAGACTTTCAAAACCCAGGATGAGCTCACACACCATATTTCACATGGAAAACATGTTTACCGCCCCGAAAAGGAAACTGTGCTTGACAAAGTGAAAAGAAAATGGGTATCAAAATTTACCGAAGCTAGGGAGGATAGTGCTCTCTCAGTGCCAGGTACAGCTACTGCGTCACTCGTCAGTACGAGTGAGGGCACAGACATAGAACTGAATGCAGGGTGGGCCATCAAAGAGGCAAGAGCCCATAAAAGATTTAGCGATGAGGTGAAAGATTTTCTTTTAGAGTGCTTTATGAAAGGGGTGCAAACAGGAAAGAAGGAGAATCCAAACAACGTTTGTAAGGTGATGAAGAAAAGGTTTGAGAAAGAAGATTGGTTAACGAGCAAGCAGATCGCAAGTTACTTTTCCAGATTAGCTGCAATGCAGAAATCTGGAAAACCGCTTCTGAGAGCTACAACACCTGAATCTGAAAATGTTGACATTGATGAGGAAGTTGCCATAGAGGTAACTAACAGGAGAAAATTACGATCCCGGATTATGAAGGAATGCGTGCTCTGAACTTTGCTTCCATATCCGTAGCTTTCAACCACGTGCTTCTTAGTATACTTTCTCCAAAATTTACACCTCTGTTTATCCAGACAAATCATCATAACATTCATAATTCATGGCCAGTCTAAACCATGAATCTCATGACTATTACTATTACTGCTGAAATATAAAAAATAAATTATGACCGACTGCGTTATTCTGCCAAAATAATTTGTCAGGACTGTTTTGCCAAAATGACTGTCGTGCTACTATATTCCATTGCCGAAATTCATCGATGCCAAAATTCATCGTATATATCAAAATTTCGAGACGATTTCATGCTTTGTGTCTAGTAAAAGGAGTGAGGTGGCAAAAATTTTATGGTTGTGATTTATAGGGCTAGTCTTCCTCTACATAAGCCCCCATCCCCCATGGACCCATAACCTGCAGCAAGAGCTACATCTCAGGGCAAAGTTAGGGTATATTTTGGGTGGTGCCAGATACCCTAACTTTATAGGACTAGTGTAGCCGCTAGCGGCCAGAGGTGGAACTTTCAACATGTGGTCGTGAAAAACGAAGACCACCCCTAATATACACAATATACAGAACATCCATCAAACATCCCATTAACACACAGTAAATATTCAACAAATGACTTATTTTTTAGCCAAAATGGCCAAAAATAGAGAAAAAAATCGATTTTTCCACATATCTCAAAAACCATTGATAGGGGAGCCAAACCCATTTGGCCATGGAATGTGCCCACATGGGTGACCAAAACCTCTGAATAAGAACAAAATCCGTTAATCTGCTTTTTGCAGATTTTGCATGGTTTTCTCATGGACTGACAGTTAAAAAAATGGATGCTAATATAAACAAATATATCTTGTATATATTTGTATATATTTGTTTTGCCCACAAAAGATATTTACAAAGAATTTAGAATATTTACAATAATATATGTGGGGGCTAGGGACCTTTGGAAATCCTGTTGGACTTTTGGATAAGGCTCCTAGTTTTGAAAAGTCAATTACAAGTAACAACTACTAAAAATGTTGACAAGTCAGGCAGTATATATTACGATTATTTACATAAAAAATAGTTAAAAGAATAAGGAGATAAAAGTTGACTTTATTTTAAGTATTTGCATAAGCAGATAGTAAGTAATAGGATTTTTTTTTCTTAAATGAGAAATACGATTTCATATTTTTGATATTTTCATTGAGACCATTCCATATAGAGACCCCTTTGTTAGACACAGTATATTTGCGATAATTAGTTCTTTGAAAGTTCACGTGTAACTTGGTGGAATTACGTGTATTCTAATTGTGTAACTCACTATTTTGTTTAAAATAATCACAATAAAAATCCGGCAAATTATTTTGATAATAAAAGAATCGATACATAAATATACTACATAGATAATCATTAATTTTGTAGACATTCAAGATTTTCAAGTCCAAAAATAATGGTTTAGAATGATTCGAATAAGATTTAAAACAAATTAATCGAACAACAGAGATGTGAACCCTAAGTAACAAAAATGCGGGTGATCAGGGGCGTAGGAAGCTTAGAAAAGTTGGGGGGGGGGCAGGCTTTGAGGGGCGCTTTCTCAAAAAAAAGGGCATCTCAAAAAAAATTTTTGGCGACCTCCACACACCCCCCCCCCCCCGTCGCCAAAAAAATTTCGGTCAGTGTACCATTTTAGGGGTAAAAAATTTTTCCGGACATACCATATTTTTCCTTAAATACTAAAAACTTTTTCCGGAAAAACAAATATATGATATTTTTATCGGAAACTAAAACATTTTTCGGGAAAAAACCTACATTACAGTTTTCAAAAGTTTCGTTTGGACAAAAACTGCGTTAAGTCTAGTTGAAGTAGAAGTAGATGTGCGCATGCATACACTCTACCGACCAAAAACAGAACAACGAATCAAGAATCAGAAGACAGAATCACAGAATGCGGGTGAATTGCTATAAAATTTGCTAATGCGGGTGATTTTATGTGCCAATTTTTCCGCGTGTGATGATTCCAAAATGCGGGTGTCACCCATTCAATGCGGGTGAGTTCACATATCTGGAACAATTTTCTTTTGTACATTCACTATTTTTTGCAATCTTGTGGGATATGTATTTCCCCAAACAAGATTCCCGTATGTGAGGTATGGATAAGCTAATGCATAGTAAATCAGTTTTAAAGTGTTTCTATTTGTATAATGTCTTAGTTTAGCAATCAGACCTGTACATTTAATAATAGTTTTCAGAACTGAGCTGATGTGGTTCTTCCATGTCAACTCTTTGTCAAATATAACTCCTAGAAACTTTACAAACGTCACTTGCTTAACCAAATCATTATTTATTTTGATTGTATTATCTGTGTTCAGTAAAGACTTATTTTTTTATTTAAAAATTACAAATTTTGTCTTAGAAGCGTTGATTGATAATTTATTGGCATTGAGCCAATTCATAACCTTATTCATTTAATTTTGTATTGTGTTATACAAAGTTTTCAAGCACGAATTTGAATAGAAAGCATTCATATCATCTGCCTATAATACGAACGAAAGTATATCCCTACAACTTTCGATGTCGTTGATGTATAAAAGAAATGGCAATGAATGGGCCAAGAATTAAACCCTGAGGAACTCCTGTAGTAACATTAATTTCAGTTGACCTATGTTGTTTATATTTTACAATTCGAGTTCTTTCCTGCAAATAATCTTTAAACCACTGAAGACAAATTCCTCTTATTCCATAATGTTGAAGCTTTTTAAAAAGAATTTCAAAGTTGACTGTATCGAAAGCTTTAGAAAGGTCAAGGAAAATACCCATTGTGTATTTGCCTTCATCCATTGAAAGGATTCATTGAATTGTGCTGAAATGTTACAGTCCATTTTCATTAGATTACTCCCGTAACTGTGATCTCTTTAAGACTGCAATAATACAAACCTGAATCCTGCTTTCTTTATCCGGAGTATACCCTCCCAAAATTGAAGATAAAGCAACAACGGAGGTCATTCTGCAGTTGGCAAGTGTGCCAAAGAAAAGTGGAATCCACCACCACTTAAAAATTCAAATTGTAGCAGATGCGATGCTAGTTGGATGTCAGCCGAATCAGTTCCTAGAAAGTGGAAAACTCTGTAATATATTCTTCTGAAGTGATCTTTATCTGATCATATTTAATATTTTGTTTGTTTACTTCATATACAAAACATCAGCTTATAGACCTCTCTGGAAAATGGTGGACATGCAGTTTCTTTTCCCCCGAAAATAATTTCCACTAAAATAATTACTGTGCATGCTACTTTATGAGATATAAAATTAGAAATAAGACAAAGCATTGTTAGTCATTTTCCAAATAGGTCTATTATGTATCTGAAAACGTTCTACCCACAAACGGTATTTTATTCAGTGTTAAAACTCATGTTAGCAAGATTTCCTGTTTAATATCTAAAAGGTTGGATGTCAACGAGCATATAAACAATATGTTCTCTTACAGGCTGGACTTTTTTGAAAAACTTGTTATTTGTAGAGACTGAAGTTTTCTTTACCTACAAAAGTCTCTTCAATCGAAATTCAAGCTAGCTTTGAGGAAGCCTATTGGCAAATTGATTCTTTAATTGAAGATCCCGAAAAAAAGAACTAGCCAACTCAACATTACGCTCAGCACCATTACGCTCAACACTAAAACCACCCAAGGCTCTAATTAAAGCCCTGTGTCGCTTGAAGAAGCAATACAATACAATACAAATTTATTTAGAACCTCCCCTCACGGCTTTTCAGGTCTAATTACAAGTTTATAAGTTACAATTTACAAGTAATGAGTTTATAAATTACAATATTTAGTATAGATATAAAATTGAGTGTCTAAATACAGAATTTAAAAAGTTATGTATTAGTTGTTAGAATTAGGCATTAAGGAGCCAGGTTTTAATGACTGTTTAAAAGTGTTCAATGAAGTACTCTCTCTAACATTGTTTGGTAAACTATTCCACAATTTAATAGCTCTGTATCCAAATGAACGTTGGGCAAAGCTTGTTCTACATTTTGGGATATCAAGATTGTGGCTATTACGAGTGCTACGATTGTTTACAAAATTTATTTACATTATTTACAAAATTTTTTAAATACAATGGTACACTACCGTTAATAATTTTATATACCATTTGAGCATCTCGATAAGTTAACATGTCCTGGACTGATAACCATCCAAGGTCTTTAATTGTGGATGAAATATGGTCAAATTTCCTCTTGCCAGAAACTATTCTAGCAGCAAAATTTTGAACCAGTTGTAATTTCCTTATATTCTCTTTAAAGGTACCTGCCCAAACAGTCGAGCAATAATACAATTTACTAAACACAAGAGAATTGATTATAGATATCAGAGTTTTCTTATCGAATAAGTGTTGAACTCGGCTGATCTGACACAATGATCCCATAAGTTTAGATGTAAGATTCTGGGTATGATCGGTAAAGGAAAGACATTTGCCATTATTATTCCAAGATCTTTTGCACAGCAAACTGGCGTTAATTCCTCACCAAGGAATTGTAATGGTGGTAGATTAATCTTGGCCAGAGCTTGCTTGGTTCCAAACAAAAGAAATTTGGTTTTCCCTGGGTTTATTAACAAGGAATTTGAACAACACCAGGCAGCAACTTGTCTTAAATCTGCATTCAATTTATTCATACTCTCAGCAATATCACTGATTGAGAATGATAAGAAAAGTTTTGAGTCGTCCACAAACGATTTGATCTTACAGTCCTTACACATGCTGCTAATTTAATTAACATACAAGTTAAATAGTAGTGGACCCAAGATTGATCCTTGCTGTACGTTGAACACGCTGTATATCAGATAAATGCTGTCCCACTCTAACAGATTGAACTCGCTCGCTAAGATAACTTCGAAACCAAGCAGTAGCTGACGCGCTTGTTCCAAACTTTTGAAGTTTTTCCAACAGGATATCATGACTTATACTGTGGAACGCCTTGCTTAGATCCAGTAATATCACAGCTGTAAGATTCTTTCTATCTATAGACTGATATATACACTCCGTTAGAAACAGCTGCAAAGTTTCAGTGGAATGGTCTTTATGGTTACCACTCTGGTGTTTATTTAACTTATTAGTTTCAATCAAATAATCAGTAAATTGTTCCAATGCAACACGTTCAGTGACCTTTGACAGTACGGGTAGCAATGAGATAGGTCAATTATTCACTGCAATTTCATGATCCCCCTCTTTATGTGGTGGTATAACCTCTGCTTTTTCCCACTGAAAGGGAAAAACCTCTTGACTAAAGCTGGCATTAACAAGGCCTGTTAGGGTTGATAAAATATGTTGGTAACAATCCTTAAGAACATTAATAGAAATTTTATCATAACCTGGTGCTTTATTGGATGGCATATTCTTTATCACTTGTTCAATTTTGGTGTAAGATACTTGGTTGAAAAAAAAACTGATCAGATAAAGGATATCTTGGGTTCGGTTCTGCAGACGCCGATAGCTCCATAATTAAGTCGTACTCGATCGCCAGTCTTTTTGCAGATTCTGCTGTCTTTTCTCCTACTGATATGAAATAGTTGTTAAATTGTTCACACAACTCAGAAGTGGGTTTTGTGTAGCATGGCTGATCATTTATCTTTCTAGGAATACAACTACGAATGATTTTCCAAATACATCGTGGTGCGTTTTGATTTAATAGGATTTGTTCAGGATTTGTTCGTGAACATAAAGTTTTTCAGAATTTTGTAATTTGTTCTTAACCTTGATCTTATATGCTTTAAATACTAGCCAGTCCCTAGTTTGTGAGGTTTGGTGAGCTATCTTATGTGATAAATCCCTCTCTTTGATCAATGATCTGATTTCAGGCGTAATAAATGGTAAACGTTTTGTTTTCATTTTAATGTTCTTTATGGGAGCATGCTTATCCAATACACTAAGGAGCAGGTCATTAAATGTATCAATCCTATCGTACACGTCATCCAGTATCTCTACCGTATCCCAGGGGACATCCGCGATATCTTTTGCAAACTCACTGGCTTTATAATCCTTATAGCTTCGCACGTTGCTAATGGTGGGGCTAGTTTTTGGTGTTTTCAAATTTAGTTTAGCCATAATAACATAATGATCACTAATGGTCGACATCACCACCCCACTTTCCATAACAATACCAGGGTTAGGGACTAGAATCACATCAATTAGAGATTGAGATGATGCTGTTACTCTTGTTGGCTCCGTAATGAGTTGGGTCAGATTCATTGTTATACAAAACGTCATGAGTACTTGAGTATCAGGACTCTCATTATTTATTAAATTACAATTCAGATCACCGCAAATGACAATGTCCTTATTGTAGCATAAAGCCTTAGTATACATTGGCATGAAATACTGCTCCAAGCAGACTGTTGGGCAGCTTGGAGGTTTATATGCCACACATATTAATATAGATCTCAATTTGCGGTTTTAGACTTTAATCCAAAGCTGTTGAAAACCTGTATCAGATGTTGCAGTCAATTCCCTAATGGCATGGGTCTTAAGACTAGTATGAACATAAGCACACACGCCCCCGCCAGATTTCCTTAAACGATCGTGTCTTATGAGATTATAGCCTTCTATTTGAACTTCGGCATTTGATACATTAGAATTCAGCCAGCTTTCTGATACAGCAAAAATCTTATATTGGTTATCCAAAATAAGTTGTTTAACTTGAATCCGCTACAAATTTGAGGTCCAGGATTTGATGAAACGTCTACACACACTGTTAGGTCCGTCTTAAAAGGCTTCGTACTAAGCACCAAACTTATGGGTCCATGTTTCGTTTGTTTAGCAACAGCAAATGGGATTTTAAATTTTGACTCGAGCATAACTCATTGTATATTAACACGATATCCAAAAGCAAATTCACTATAGACTCCTGAGATTGTACCATCCTTAGCTAATCCATCGACATTCACAAAGATAACAGTCTTAACTTTAATATTTGTTGAACCGAAGAGAGAAAAAACATTAAATAAGATAAATATCAAGTAAAATATATTCACACACATCTTGATGCTGGTGCCGAAAGGAGGGCAACAAAACTGAATAGAAGTGGGATGACATTGTTATTACTAAGCCTGATAAAGGTTGCGGGGTTGTAGTCATGGACAAATCCGAGTATATCCGTCTTTTAAGTGCAGCGTCAATTGACAGCACTTCAAAATTTTAATATGTCGATAAGCAACGACCCAAGCAACGTGGACGTCTGCCCAAGCATTTCCACCCACTCCCTCAGAAAGAGAAGCAATTGCTTTCAATCTTACATCAGATTCTCCCTGAAGATGTTGCCGAAGCCCTCTCCCCGAAAGGTTCCAGGCTTGCCCATCTCTATGGCATTCCTAAAATGCATAAAGCTACACTATCCATGAGACCAATTTTATTAGCAAACGGATCTTATAGCTATAAACTTGCCAAATGGCTTGATGAGAGGTTGAAACTGCTTGCTACAAATGCCTATACCATCGCCGACATGTTAAGTTTTGCTGATGAAATTTGTCATTTACATGTGAACGAAGATGATGTACTGGTGTCTTATGATGTCCCAGCACTCTTTACCAACGTGCCTTTAAAAGAGACGATTGACATCTTGGTCAAGAAAGCTTTCAGCAATGATTGGTTTAATCTGACACACCATCTTAATATGACAAGAAACGAACTTAGACAACTTCTTGAAGTAGCTACAACCAACCATCTTTTTCAGTTTAATGATGATTTGTATGAGCAGACTGATGGAGTTGCTATGGGATCCCCTTGGGCCCCCTAATGGCTAATGTTTTTATGTGTCATCTTGAAGAAAAGCTAGAATGTGATGGCAAGATTCCATCTTTGTACAGGAGATTTGTTGATGATGCCTTATCCAAAATGCCTAGTATCGAGGCTGCTTCCAATTTTCTTACTACCCTGAATGCCCTATATCCTAGCATTGTATTCACCATGGAAGTACAGACCGATGGCAGAATTCCATTTATTGGTATGGATATAATCAAGGTAGGAACAATTCAAACGCAAGTCTACTGAACACCCACTAATACTGGATTACTCCTTCATTTTCAGAGCCATACGCCATAAACACTCTTTGTTGAAAACAATGGTATATCGTGCTCACATCATTTCATCTACTATTGAAGTCTTTAATGAGGAATGTGGCCGGTTGCATTCAATATTTTGTCGGCTCGACTATCCCATCGGAGTCATTAATTCGACCATACAAAGTGTTGCAAGCTGTCAACAAACACAGTAAATTTAAATCAAGTCAATGAGACTGCTACAATCAGAATTAATCTTCCATATAAAGAGCAGAGAGCAGCAGATACAGTATGGAAGAAAATGCATGATCTCAGCAATAAGATTGGTCTTTCCAACTTGCACCTAGTTTGAATACCCAGAGCAACTCAATTAGAGCAAAACTCTTTGTTTGACTTTGAATTTAATTAATGACATTGTTCTAATTTAGTATATATAGAACTCTTAATTCTTATTTTATTTACTTGATAATGACGTGTGTTAACGTCGAAACGTTGTCGGTTTTTAAAAAACTTTTTATTACATTCTGAAATGATTTTCAGAAACATTTTAGTGCAACATTTTATTGTGAAATCTACAACGAAATCATTACTTAATTAAAATATACCTCTTTTAATCTTCTCCATGTCATAGTTATATTGTCCAAGTGAAACTATACCAGTGAGTTGGTGATGTCCTGCCTTTACTGTTGTTTGCAAATCTTCCTATACAAGTCAGGAATATACAGTTAATGGACAATACAGAGGTTTTTTATTTTTAGTAATCTGTCATAATCAGCTATTCCGTTGATGCCCTCTTGCCGATCTTTATTAATGACGAACTCGTCAATTACTTACTTGTATTTTCATTTCGTCTATTATAAAACCATCCCAGTAGTCTTGTGGTTTACCGCCATTTGCAATTGAGCGTGCACCGTGCATTTTTTTCGAGTTGTTTTAGCATGAAATTAACATGTAACTATGGGCGGAGCTTCATGTTACTAAGGCGGCTTACGGCGGTTTATTTAAAAATTGCGCGCTTTTTTACAGCTTGTAGTTATGTAAAATGGCGCTTGGCCCTGTTGTAATGAAATGACGAAATTTATAAGTAATAAATATGGAAGGACTTTCGAATCAGGAAAAGCGCTTTCGCCAGATTTCCGTAGACTTATAATAGATAAAATAGTAGAGAGCGGTGGAGACCGAATAACACAAAATATTCCATGTGGCTACGCATATATAGCACGATATTTCAAACTAGCGCCAAACACAGTTAAGAAAATCTGGAGACGGTTCTGCAACGAATACACAGAGGAACGATTGCCGGTTTCTGGGGGACGACGTTCAATACTGTCCCAAGAAGATTTAGAATAAAATTTCTTAAGCTCGCTAGAGGATCATTCAGCTTGTCAGAAATTTGGGGTGTTTTGGTAGATGAAATTGGATGTGTACAAAACGTTTCTATATCTACAATAAGCCGTGCGATTCGTACAAGATTACCATCCGGTCGTAAATTCACAAGAAAAATAATAACTCATATTGCTTCTGAACGATTCACAAACAACAACATTTTATATACGCAACTCTTCATAGATTACATGCATGCCCAAGATCCGAACCACGTAAAGTTTTTCAATGAATCTGGGATCAAGCTTTCAGATTGTACAAGACGTTATGGGCACTCACCTGTCGGTGAAAGATGCGTGGAGATCTGCAAGAAAACACCATCACCGAGTTTTACGCTAAGTGCGCTGTGCTCACTCAGCGGAATTGAGTATGCGAAAGTTATCAATGGCGCGTCAAACACAGTCGAGTTATTGCAATTTTTTGAAGAGGCCGGCCAATCAGTTAACGCAACAACTGGTTTACCCAGCCTTGCAGTTGGTGATATAATTGTGATGGATAATCTTTCATCGCATCACTACGAAGGAGGTGCTGCACTTGAGGAATGGCTTGGCAAAATGGGTATAGAGTTAATTTATACACCGACCTACTCGCCAGACCTAAACCCTATTGAAGAATCCTTTTAGAAAATAAAGAGCGTGCTTACTAGCGAATATGCCAATAATAATGTTTACAGCATCAAAGCTTCAGTGATTGCTGCGACTACGAAAGTCACCGCTTTAGACATGATAGGCTACTATCGCCATACAGGATATTTTCGGCTATAACAATTTATACATTGGCATTGCCATTGGACAACGTCAACGGCCAATGTTGACATCATAGTTGACATGTCTTTTATTGTTTTATTTAATCAAACGAACAAGTTTTGAACGGCATATAGTATCATGTTTAGGCCGAGGGAATTAAAGTCATAGAATACCGTCCTCCGCCCGCATGTCCAAAATGCTGCCGCAAAAAAATCATTATTTCAAAAAATTTCGTTGTTTCAACAATGATGTACACTTTAAACTATAATTCATCGCAGAAGTCATGTATTAAGAGTAAAGTCTACTTGTACAGCAAACTTTCACTTCGCAGGCATTCGCTGCCTAGTTTTAAAGATTGCTGGCATATTACTGAACAGGTTTATTGACGTTCAACCAATTTTCACACACATTTCTAAAAATAACGAATAATGAAAAAAAGACTCATCTTGAAAAAAGACTCATCTATTTTTGAAATTATAAGGACGGTATTCTATGACTTTAATTCCTTCGGCCTTACATGTCATGTCAAAACATGAAGGCGCGGTCATAATTCTGTCGACGGCGCCATAATATTTCAGAAACAACTAGTCACTACACGGCTTTGTATAAACAGCACTTTTCATAATAGGATATTGTCTTATTGATTTGAGCAATAAACTATAAAAGCCTGTCATCAAACATCACCTGAACTGAAGCGTAAACAAATATATTATAATATTAATATTGCTGTAAAACTAAATATAGTCAGCACATGCATTTCACAACTTGATTATTATATTGTTTGTAAAAAGTTGTTATACTTTACAGTATATAACAATATATTACTGATGTTTACATATGAGCTCAAGTTAACCACAGTTTATATAATTCTCATTTCTATTATTGCTCAACTCACGTTTTTAAACATCAGTGGACAGTGACGTTGAATGGTTTTCACGAGTCAAATAAGTGCATGTACTAAAATTTGGCTTGCATGCCTCAAGCAGTCGAGGGTCAACCATTAGATTTTGCATGCAAGCATTCATATGCAAGCATTCATATGCAAACATTCATATGCAAACATATCAGCGGCACATATTGGCAGTAGGCAGATTTTTAATACTGCCGGATAAACAATACCATTTTCATGTATTTGGGCATAAACATGTTCAATTCCGCGATATACTGTACAGTGTGTATAAAAAAAGTGAACCCGGCTTTCAAATTCAAATTATAGCTATAAGTATAACGTTTGTAGTAATTTGACAGCTCTAGTTGCTTTGAATTAATGGTTTGGTAAGAACACAAGGTCTACAACTCATGCCTCATGGGACAAAACTCAAAGAAATAAAAATTAGAAAATTTAAGAGTTTTTCCCCATGAGTACAAGACCTTGTGTTCTTACCCAACCATTAATTCAAAGCAATTAGAGCTGTCAAACACTACAATGCGTTATAGCTAATTTGAATTTGAAGGGTTCACTTTTTTTTGAGACACTGTATAACGATTATTACTGTAACGAGTACTATTTTAGGAAATGCGACCAAACCTTACAGTAAATATAACTAATATTGTTCTGTTTATAAATCAATTATAACAATCTCTATATACTATAATATGGCTACTTTATAATACAGGGTGAGTAAAAAATACTGATACCTTTGATATTCAAATTATAACAAAGGTATCAGTTTTTTTTACTCACCCTGTATGCGGCTATACCTATGGCTTTGGTTTTAACAACAGTTCATGCAAAATTAATTAACACAATATCAACGCAAGTATTGTCATAAATATCAAAGACAAAGAAACTGATTAACAATAACGATATATATGACATTGTACCTTCAGTTCTGAATGTTTCACAGCCTCTGTTTTCTAGCTGTTTAATAAAGACATGAGTACGTTTGCTGCATCATTCTCGTCTGTCTGTTCATTCCGCTGTTCGCTTGGTTCGATTCTCACATCTACATCGTTGACACAAAATGTTTCCGAGCTTGTGTCTTTTGTGCTTGTGTGTCGTGTTTGATCAACAGCTGGGATGGCGTGTCGCATATTTTCATCGACTGTCGCATGGCCATAGTGATTCATAGACACAGGTTGAAATGAACTCGCTTTCAATGCGATTTCTAACTGGGCATTCTCTTCTTCTTCAGTGCATGGTTCACAGTTAAGTAAATTGAAGCTAGAGCTACTGTTACACGGCATGGTGGTCAGTGAAGACGTTGGTACGGACATATCGGGAAAGCATATTCCGTGTCGCCTTTCCAGGACGCCTTTTGCAGGATTTTCATGTTCGAAACGTCGCCTTTTGGGATGTGATAAGGATTGACGTGCTTCCTCCGCTTCAGCAAGACCCAGGATATACGACAGGTTTTGTTTAGGAGGAATTTTACCCCTGAAATTGTGTTTGCAATAAGTTTCTATGAGATGAACATGCCTTCGTAGTAGAGACCAGTTTTTAAAATTTCCAGTATGGTATTCGGGGCCGTTTTCGCAAAGCAACCTGCTCTCTATCTGAGAAGACAGTGTCTCCTTCAAACTCACCACGGCGGATCGTCGGTTATTTAGTTCGCTTTCCATTTTATGCAGAACGTTTTCTTCTTTCTTGATTTCCTGGTTTAATTTTGGACGATTAATCTGTCCCTTGTGAAACTTTTCAAACCCACATTCGAAAACACTTAAACATTTTTCAACATCGCAATTCCTCGCAAGATCGCCTAATTTCAAATGGCAGTTTCAGCAAATTGTTAAATTACCTTGTAGTTGCGTAGATTGAGCTTCATTAATTTCCTCATCAATATCGTTCAATTCTTTCTTGAGCGCAGCGACCTTTTGGCTTTGCTTTTGAATATCATTTTCCAGTTTCATGGTATATCTCTCTAATGGCGCCGTCGTTGGGGCACGAGAAGGCGCTTGGGCGTCAGATTGATTTTCGTGAGCTACACTTTGGAATTTGGAGTGTAAACTAGCAGGAGCTACTCTCTTTACCACTGCCATTGGGATTGTGACATCTTCGGCAGGTATTATTGGACGTTCTTGCTGCTGTATGTCAGCTGCATTAACTGGACGGTTTTCACGTCATTCCGAAACAGTTGAAACATTTGGCAGATTTGCTGGCGAGTCCAATTCAGAGACTTTTAAATGAATCTTCGTATAATTACAATCGGTAATCGGATTACCTGACTTCAACATCTCTATAAACATTTCGCTGTTGTCGAACGGCAGGTTTACGAAGTCTCGAACGGCAGGTTTACGAAGTCTCCTTCCTCATCGCGAAATTTTATTCTAATAGTTGTAGGTGTGAGGTATTGGAGTGATCTAACGTTGCTTCGTATATCGGCCGTTAGTTTTATAAAAGTGTAGTTTGGTTGCTCTTGTGTGTTTACAAAAAATGAGCAAAATCTATCAGAAGAATATTCCACTTTAAAAAGGTATCTTGCCATGCTTACAGTAACTATGTTTTTGATCATATGCCCAATAGCAGGGAACATATTATAAAATTGGTTCGTCAAAACATAATTTGGAACGTCAAATATTTACGCTAATGGGCACTTAGTCGACAAAAAAAAATTGGTTTTAAAGCTACAAGACTTGAAATCAACAACAAGGTGTGTATGATTTCGCACAAATACGGTAAACTGTAAACAAACCATCAAACTAAAGTGTCGCTAATGTTTGTCTGAGTCTGGCGGGGGGTCGAATTTAATATAAAACCGCCTTAGTAACATGAAGCTCCGCCCATAGTAACATGTTAATTTCATGCTAAAACAACTCGAAAAAAATGCACGGTGCACGCTCAATTGCAAATGGCGGTAAAACCCTGCCCCCTCATTCGCACAAGAATGGATTACATTGCACAGGATTATATCATTCCATCCAGGGTCTTGACAAACGGAAGTCTTGTAATGCCTTTAAAACAGCATAATTTCTTCACACTCTAAATCGAGTATCTGTTATTTTAATGATGGTAAAATGATAAATTCTCTCATGGTATCCAGTGCCTTAGGATTTTTGCAATACAGATCTAATGCCAACCTCACTATCCTTGAAATTAAATAACACGATTATAACATGTGTTTAATAATTAATATAAATTCTTAAATTTAAGTTCTACAGAAATGTAACAATTTTATAGAGAACTGACTAGGTTGTATAAACCTTTTTGACTAAAAAGTGTTTGTTACCTTGGGTCCCAATGGTAACCTCTTGGAGATTGTGTCAACAGCTGCTTCTTCTGCATCTCCCACATTATTTGCATTTCAGGTGGTATGTCATTAGTGCAAAGTGAAGAATTCACTTTTGGACAGATAACGGTGTTAATAACAAGTTCTTAGTTCAATCTTGGTTCTTCAATCTTTTAGTTCAACTTATTTTTTCTGTTTTTTAAGCGTTGATTTTTGGCACTTGTGTTTTCGAATTCAAAGGCGACATTTTCGGTTATTTTTCTCATTTCAGAATGCATCGAAACAGTTTGAATTGAAATGTATACAGATATATGGAGTGTTTTTCACCGTTTTCATGGCTTCTGAACGTCAGAGGAGTTTCTTCTGGATTTGCTGAATCAATTTTTTGAAAGTGTTCTCAAAACGTCATAGAGTGGATGCATACGAGCAGAAAACTTGGAAAACGCAAAAAACGGGTTGTGTTTTAATCTAAAAAATGTGTGTATGTCAGGAAATTGCACATTTATATGTGATTATATTCAAGGCATTAACTCGTAAAACCTATTTGAGTGGACAATGTTGATGGGGATGGACATGCGAATATTGTACTGTTGAAATTGTTGACGTTTCTTTTGTACATATTTTCCTGGTTTTGTTTTGCAATTTTTTGACAGCCGTTTGCCGGTATAAAACTGCAAGTAGGAATATACTTTAATATGCTTTCGTGAAAACGTTGCAGCAATTTGCGTAAAAAATATATATTTGTACCTGATAAAAGTCTGCTCTTTTGTCTCTTCACATACTGATACCCTTCATCAATATTTTTGAATTTATAATGCAAGAGATTTGGAATGTTTTTTCCTAAACTTCATTCTTGTCTCGAAAACCCATGTATGTTTCTTCGTTTGAATCTGTTTATTGGTCTTGGTAATACAGAATATTGGCAAATGATCTGATATGTCAGAAAGTAATAAACTGCTACATAAATAATTCTCTGAGTGTTTGTGTGATGTTACTCTGAGTATATCCACACCGGGCAGGCTTGAAAAATATGCCTGGCTACGGTAGGATTCGAACCTATGACCTTTGGAATACTATTGGAATACTTTGGAATCTCTGAGTGGTTGGTAAATATGCCATCAATGCAGTATGTGACGTTATTCTGGTAGGAAGTGTTATCAAAGGAAACAACATATGACCAAACATTATATCTAGAAATTCACTAGTTGGTAAATGACCATGGTTATTTAAAAGATCGAAGTTAAAATCACCAATTAAATAGCATACTTTCTTTTCTTTAGAAATCATTCCCATGAGCAAATTCAGGTTATTGTTAAAATCGTTTACGTTTTGGCGTGATGGTGTATAAACATACCTACAATTATGTTTTTCCCTTTAGCATTAGTTATTTCTACACACAATGATTCAACACATGTTTGGCTAGGGAAACCGAATTGAAATCAAAACGAATTTGTATTCCAACTCAGTTGTTAAATATAAACCTTTCAAACTCCACCTCCAGATCTATTAGGTTGGTAGTTATGTACAAAATTGTTTCTTTCAATGTCAACGGTACAACTACACATATATATACTCGTACAAATCAGTCAACTTCCTTGACACAACTATATTTACATTAACTCCAACAACAAACTCGAATCTAGTCTCCTGCACAGACGTTGTTAGTGGCCGAGGCCCCACCTAACGTCTGCTCACATTCGCTACACATTTGACTTCCCAGCAATTAACCAATCACAATCATGTACACAATAATTGGAACATCGACCTTCACTGACCTTCACATGCATGGGCTATTTATATCAACAAGTCTGTAGTATTTTTAAATATGAAAGTTTTAATACTACGCATCAGGCTTTTCATTCTATTATAAACGAAAAGAAGGATGTTTTCGTTAATCTCACAACTGGCACAGGAAATCACTTATTTATCACATAGTTACCGAAGCTATTTGATGTAATATTCGGATTTAAACAAATTGTAAACGTGTAGACATTCAGTGTGGTTTTGCCGAAGCTGATCGATTGCTATGGCTTTGAGAATTACAAATGCGAACACATGTTTAGGATTTATTATAATACATAGTGACATGAGCTTCATGCATCAATAGCCAAAACACAAACCATTCTGCTATACAGTATACACTTTCTATGTCTTCAACAATGACTCTGCATGCTTGATACTAAATGTCTACACGTTTACAATTTGTTTAAATAATTAAATCCGAATATTACATTGAATAGCTTCGGTAACGGCGTGATAAATAAGTGATTTCCTGCGCCAGTTGTGAGATTATAATAGAATGAAAAGCCTGATGCGTAATATTAAAACTTTCATATTTAAAAATACTACAGACTATTTGATACAAATAGCCTATGCATGTGAAGGTCAGTGAAGGTCGATGTTCCAATTATCGTGTACATTACTGTGATTGGTTGATTGCCGGAAAGTCAAATGTGTAGCGAATGTGAGCAGACGTTAGGTGGGGCCTCAGCCACTAACAACGTCTGTGCAGGAGGCTAACTCAAATCAGACTTATACATCAAACCAACTGATAGAACTGTACTCTTACACCATAACTCCTTTCACCCTCAAACATGCAAAAATCATATTATCTACAGCCAAGCACTACGATACAGATGCATCATCACTGATAATATGAAACTACAACAAAGACTGAACAACCTACTTATTGTCTTCATTCACCAAGGCTACAAACATGACAACATTATCACATCCTTCAACAAACCACTACTATACACAGAATGACCTACCCCTGTGAAGTGATGTTCATTATATCATAAACAAATATGAATGTGCATGAACAGTTCATAAATATTCATTGATTGCTCATTAAGTTTGTTCATGAACATTGTTCATGAACTATCCACCTTCAGTAGTTCTTGAATGCGTGATGAACTTTCAAGAAGACTGTGCACCTTGTTATATCTTGAACATCGTTATTTATTTCAATGTCCTAAAACATAAAACCTACACACATGTGCTCACTTCCAAAATCCCCAGACCCCCTGATGCAACGTTCTATACTTCATGTAACACCAACATAACATCTTTCTCTCACAACAAATAGTTCTACGTGAATCTGGTAATGTGAACTAAAACCTGTAGTGCATTCTACGATTGATAACACAACTAAGTATACAAATAACTATCAGAGTTATTTACCGTCCATAAAACTCTGGCGGTACACCTCTGTTTGCTCTTAAAGGATACCTATCTTCAATTATGTCTTGATCATTGTCCTGCTTGTGGGACCGCAATGGTAATATCATCTTCTGACTCAGGATTTGGAACAGTTTCTCTATACGCTCCACTAAATTTCTTAAAATGCAAAACTTTCTTGTAATCACATGATCACCCCTTTGCGTTGTTACTCTGGAATATCACACATTGATTACTTTGTATGGTTGAGGACGAAACATGGTTGTATACTTGTTCTTCTTTTTCTGTTTCACCAACGCTGTATCCCCCTTCCTTTATCGTTGACTTTCGTGTACGTCTTCTGTCATCTACATATTGTTTTGACTTAGCCTTTCCTTTCAAAACCCTTTCTGCAGCTGTATTGGCAGGTGCCTGAGAGAAAGACTTCTAGAACGGTAGATTGAATTACTCGTTTGTAAAGCATCTCGGCTGGTGCCACACCTGTAGATAGGTGAGGCGTAGTACGATAATTCATCAAAAATGCAAATAGTTCTCTTTGCCAATCTCGACCCTCTGCCCAAGCCGCTCGAATAGCTTTACCCATAGGTTTCATGAAGCCTTCCAATTTTCCATTGGCCTACGGCCATAAAGGTGTTAGACGGTGATGGTGGATGCCTTGTGTTGTCAGATAGTCCTTAACTTCCTTGGACTGGAACGGTGACCCATTATCGCTCTTAATTGTGTCTGGCAGTCCGTGTCGGGCAAAAACTTTTTCAAACGCTCATATTGTATGAAAAGCTGTGGTTTTATTCATAATCTCAACTTCTGGGAATCCGGTTGTTTCATCTAACAGCACGAATAGATGCTCTCCTGTAGGTGCTGGTCCATAGAAATCAACATTAATACATGACCATGGTGCCACTGGAGGTGGGACAACTGCTAGAGGCGGAGGGGGTTCAGGATTACCAGATATTTGGCACGTCAAACACTCCTTTACATGTTGCTCTGCTTCTTTATCTAATCTAGGCCACCATACATTGGTTCTCAAATTTTGTTTGGTCTCGACAATTCCCATATGTCCCCTGTGTTCCAGGGCTAGAGTTCTATTTCGAAGTGATATTGGTATAATCAGTCGGTGTCCTCTCAACAGTACACCCCTTACTGATGTTATTTCATGCCGTACTGCAAAATAAGCTGATATGGATTTGTCTTTCCAGTTGCCAAACTGAAGTCCTCGTCCAACTGACTGCAGTTCTTTATCGTTCTTTGTCCCTTCTTGCACCTCTGACAAGGTAATTGTTCTGGGAATGGCTTGCTCTGTTATAAAGTTAATATATTTTTCGGCAATAGACTGTCCCGAGGGCTCATTAATTGGTGCACGCGAAAGGAAATCTGCCGGATTCCCTGTGCCTGGACGATACTTGACCGTGTAGTTATACTGCTGGAGGTGCAATGCCCATCTCTGTATTCGAGCAGATTGTTTGGCCTTTGCTGAGTAAAGGATTTCTAATGCTTGATGATCTGTATACAAAGTAAACTGACAACCAACTAAATATTAATGAAATTTCTTGCATGCCCACACACATGCCAATGCTTCTCATTCTGTCTGACAGTACCGCTGTTCAACTACTGTTAGTGCTCTACTAGCAAAAGCAATCACTTTCAAAATGCCCTGTTCATCATGTTGAACCAAAATAGCCTCTAGGCCTACAGGACTAGCATCCACAACAACACTCGTTGATCTGTTAGGGTCATAATAGGCCAACGTACACTGTTCAGATAGCGAAGATTTAACCTGATCAAAGGCCTCTTGATGACTAGCGTCCCATGTCTATGGAACCTTTTTGCGATCCAAATTCCGTAGCGGCGCCGTAATGGTAGAGAAATTAGGAATAAACTTCGAACAGTAATTCACGAGTCCTAGAAAGCTACGAAGTTCTTTCACGTTGTTTGGGGGCAGATGTATTTTTTATTGCAACAACTTTCTCTTGGTCAGGCCTAATCCCATTCTTACTAAGAATCATGCCATAAAACCATAAACTGCCACATTGAAAAGGCACTTACTTTTCTTTGCAGTCAATCCGGTGTCTCTTAGTCTCTGCAATAGAGCTTGAAGATTGGCATCATGTTCTTTTTGAGTTCGCGCCCAAACAATTACGTCATCAACAATGTTTTTAACTCCATACAATTCTTGCAATGCATGCTGGATAGAATTTTGAAACACTTCGCTTGCTGAGTTAATTCCGAAAGGCAGTCTTTTCCACTGGAAAAGACCTTTATGAGTCGTAAAAGTTGTTATACCACGTGAGAAAAATTAGCTGCATTGCTTATATCATCTGTTAGTTCCTCAATTGTAGGCATAGGGTGGTGTTCCCTCTTAATGGCTTCGTTAACTCTGCGATAGTCCCCACATACACGTATTTCGTCTGGATTTTTCGGCTTAGGCACGATCACTACTCCACTGACTCACTCTGTACTTTTATTAACGACATGTTCAATCAAATCATTATCCTGCGACTCTTGAAGCCACTTCTCTAACTGAGGACAAAGATTAAAAGGTATTCTACGGTATGTTTGGGCCACAGGTGGCACACTATTGTCAATGTGCAGTTTTTGTTCAAACCCTTTAAGATGTCCTACACCTTCAAATACATCCGCAATCATTTACCATATTGAGATGCTGTAATGTAAATTGTAGCCACTGTCATACAATGTTTTGATTCTACTAATGTCTCCACTGTGCCTAATAGGGGAATAGGGTTATTTTCTCCAAAAGGATATTGGTTCTTTGCTTTGTTTTCTTAAATGCTCGAAATCCTCAGGACCCAAAACGTTAACAGACGCACCACTGTCCACCATCGTTTTCATCGGGACTCCATTAACACAGACCGTAGAATAGGGATGCTTACTTTGTTGTGCTTGTTGAACTGTGAACATGTGTTCTGAACCGCTGTCTCAGTCACTACTCGAATTACTTGTTGATTTGTGGGTTGAGGAATGCCGTTCATCAACCTTATTAACATGCTGGAATGGACTAGTAGCTCCTCCGGTTGTTTTACATACCCATTACCCAAGCAAAATGCCCCCTTTTATGACACTTGTAACATTCTTTATCTACAGCTGGACATTTCCTTGTGTGGAAACCCCAGTCCACACATTTAAAACATTTCTTACTAGATGATGACTAGTACTTACTGGTTGTTCTAGGTCTTCGGTGATCCTCTTGTAATTGATTAGTATATTCCTCATTACCATCAGAAATGTCCTTTTTTATAATTTCCTTTGTTTGTTGGTCTGTACGAGCTAATGCTCTTCCATAATCTAATATTTGTGACAGGGTAAATGTTTTTTTCCATTAAAATCTTTCGTCGCAATCTGTTAGATAAACATCCTTCAATTATTTGTTGTTTCAGCTCAGTATTTGTGTCTGGAAATTCACATGTTTTGGCCAAAGTACATAATCTAGTATAATAGGCATCTAATGTCTCATGTTCTTGTTGCTTAGCTTGACGAAATTTATATACCTCGAAAGGTACATTCTTAGAAGGACTAAAATATTCAGTGAGCTTTTCACACGCCGTCTTAAAGTTATCTTCGTCCCCATTTTCCGGTAGTGTTTCCCGATCTGAAACTGACACTTTATCGCCTGTTTTCTTGAAATAAAACCGTCTCTTATATACACAAATAACCACAAAAAGTCTGTCTAAAATTACAACGTGTTTGCAATATTTTTTCTCAAAAACAAAGTCTCCAGCAATCAACAAGCACAGCGGCTATATGTCATAAAACTTCGTGTAATAACATCCCCCTCCCGAATGCCACGGCATTCGTTCTTAAACAGCGAATTGCAGTTCAACAATATAAGTCAAAGTTCTTTGAATGTTTGCATGGCGATAAAATATAATTGTTTTTGTTTGTGGAAACACCACGTAAATTTATTACTGCAAAGCTTTCGATCCGTAAGCCCGGATCTTCATCAGTGCTTATAATATGTGACTTGTTTAATTCACACGCTCTTTTTTTTTTTTTTGGCTGAGAGTGACATTCTAGTATCGTATGATGTTGCATCGCTTTTCACCAATGTACCAGTTGATGAAACGATCCAAATTCTTGCCGACAAAGCGTTTGAGAAAGAATGGTTCAACTGGAAATACAACCTAAAGCTTGAGAGATTTGAACTTGTCGAACTCTTGAAGTTAGCAGTTAAACATCAGCTATTCCAAATCGACGGTAAGTTATACGAGCAAGTCGACGGAGTTGCAATGGGCTCCCCACTTGGTCCACTCATGGCGAACGCGTTCATGTGTTCAATTGAGGAAAAGCTGGTAGAACGCAACCTGATGCCTTCCTTATACCACTGGTTTGTTGATGATTCCATCACATCGCAAAGCAACATTGCTTCCGCAGAAGCATTCCTATCCACCCTCAACAGTCTGCATCCATCCCTTCAGTTCACTATGGAATTAGAGACCGATGGTGTATTACCATTCTTGGGCACAACCCTAATTAATAAGAACGGTCGAGTAGAAACAAAAGTCTACAAGCCAACAAACACTGGCCTTATGTTACATTACGACAGCCATTTAGATGTGAAGTATAAGAAATCGCTCGTCCTGACCATGCTCAATCGTGCATTCCGTCTATCATCATCGTGGAAGCTCTTCACTGAAAAAAAAAGAGAAAAAAAGAGCGTGTGAATTAAACAAGTCACATATTATTAGCACTGATGAATATCTGGGCTTACGGATCGAAAGCTTTGCAGTAATAAATTTACGTGGTGTTTCCACAAACAAAAACAATTAATATAAGTCAAATAATGTAAATTAATGTAGTCGATTGCTACAGCTAGATAATCTATAACAAACTGTCAGTCACAAGATTTGTTAAACTTTAGTGTTTTACATAAGTTTATGCATGTACATATTCCAAAGGACATAAGCGATGAACTGGGCGAAAGTACGCCTTATCTTGTGATTTAAGTTTAACAGTCCTTACTAGTCAGTCACTACCAGGATATGCTTCCAGTATTCGACCAAGGGGCCAATCTCCGCGACTTGCTTTAGGCTCTGTAATAAGAACAACATCTCCAGGCTTCAAGTTATGATGGGGGTGGAACCATTTCTTTCTTACGTTTAAGCTGGGAAGAAATTCCTTCCTCCACCGTTTCCAAAATAATCCAAGAAGTTGCTGGACTCGATGCCATGTTTGCACTGGGTTATAAACTTCCTCTTTATCTACTGCTTCCAGCGCAAATCGTCCTCCGATCTGACCAACGATTAAGTGATTCGGAGTAAGTGGTGACAGGTCATTTGGATCCGCGCTCACATAAGTTATCGGTCTCGAGTTTATCATCCCTTCAGCGCCACATATGGCTGTATGCAACTCCTCGTCTCAAATATCTGCGTCACCCAAAATGATTTTAATGGCTTTCTTTGCACTCTTGATCAAGGCTTCAAACACTCCACCAAAATGCGGCGCAGATGGCGGGTTGAACTTCCACGTAATCGGTTGGTACTTGGTGGTCTCGCACACAATCTTTTCTTGGTCCAGGTTCTCGATTAGCTCCCGCAACTCCCGTTCAGCCACAACGAAATTAGTCCCGTTGTCACTAACCACGTAACTCGGTGTCCCCCTCCTGGAAACCATTCAAACAAATGCATTAATAAAGGAATCACTGTCTAACGAGTAAGCCATTTCTAGATGTACGGCTCGCGTAGCCAGACATGTGAACAAACACAAGTACCGCTTGGCTCTCTTTGTTCCACGTCCTTGTTTGGTCAAAAAAGGTCCCGCATAGTCAACTCCAATGTTATCGAACGCTCGCAATGATTCCAGTCTTGGTCTGGGAAGCGGAGCCATCATTTGTTGTCCGGTTTTCTTTAAAAATCGTCGTCGGCATTCAGGACAAGTTTCGATTACAGTTCAAACTGTTTTTCGTCCTTTCACAATCCAGAATTGAGCACATATCCTCGTCAACAACAGTTCTACTCCTGAGCCATGGCCTAAACACTCATGGGCGTCCATCACGATAAGTCTGGTCACTGAATGGTTCTTCAGTAATAGGATGTTTAGTGTCATATGGCAATTCGTCAGCTAGACGCAAACGTCCGTCCATTCTCAAGAGGCCGTCATCGTCCTTTCTGGGATTCAACTGTAGCAACGTTGGATCCTTTTCAGCTCTAGGAAAGGCTTCTCCTTGAGCTTGTCTTATCCAGAATTTCTCAGCTTGTACAATCTCCGTAAATGAAAGAATGTTACTTTTATTTCTGGCATTGTGCGACCGTTTCGCATTGGTCGTAAAATGTAGTATCCACGCCGTCACCCGACACAGGTGTCTGAAACTTGAAAATTGCCGTGGGTTAATAAAATCTGCACCTCCGGTATTTGTCACAAACGTCTGGGTAACTTGCTTTTCGCAACCGTCCAGTGCTTTTGGATTTCTGCTGGGACTTGCTGGCCATAATGTCTCTTCTTCTTTCAAAAATTGTGGACCTTCTGTCCAAAATACACTGTTGACGAGTTCTGCAGCCGACATTCCTCTGGTCGCTAGGTCTGCTGGATTTACTGTTCCTGGGACATGGTGCCATTGCTCTGGGTTTGTGGTGCGCTGAATCTCTCACTCGATTTGCCACAAAAGGCTTGAATTCCTTGCTTTGGTTATGTATCCAGTACCAGACGTTTTCGGAATCTGTCCAAAAGAACACTCTGTTGACTGTAAGCACTTTAAGAAGACGTTGGGCGAGGCGACATGACAGAAGGGCACCCATGAGCTCTAAACGAGGTATGGTAATGGCGATTGTGCTCAGAACATTACGCTTCGTCAAGGCCTTACTGGATTCCGGTAATTTGACTTGAAAAGTAAAAACGTCTTCTTTGGCTTCCCACATAACGCCTAAAGTTTTAATCTTCAACGTCTCCTCTTTGCCCGAAATCCAATGTTGAAAGTCGGTCACTTGGTGCTATACTCTCGATAACTGCGGTCTCATTTGATGCCCATTTTCTCAGGTTGAATCCCGCTGATGCTAAAAGAGAAGTTGACATTGTAGGTTCTGGGCGCTCTCAACCGTCTACTGGAATCTAGAAGATCATCCTACATACATCGGATTGGCCACCGAGTCTGCCGCTTCTGGAAATTCTGCTGCATGTTGTTGACAATGGGTTTGAATGATGTATTGTGAACAAAATGGGGAGGCTGTGTTACCAAACACTAATCTCTGAAACTCGTAGACGGTCGGCTCTTGAGTAGGGTCAAAATCACGCCAAAGGAACCTGTGGTACTTTTTATCTTCCTCATGAATCCAGACTTGTAGGAACATCTCAGATATATCACCTCTGAGTGCCACAGGTGCTCTGCGGAAACGTGTAAGTACGTCTATTATTTCTCGCTGAAGCTTAGGCCCCGACTGTATAACGTCGTTCAAACTCTTCCCATTATATTTCATTGCTGCATCAAATACGATACGTATTTTGGTCGTCGATTTATCCAATCTGATTACGGGAAAATGGGGCAAGAACCACTGATCCAATGCCGACGACTTAGGTACTTGCTTTATATAACCCTTCTTCTTATAGTCCTCGAAAATCTGACAATAAGCCTTCATTATCTCTGGACCCTTTCTTTTCAATGACTTTTCTTGACTCTCCAGACGACACATAGCGGCTTCGAAATTGTTGTCTAACTTTGGTTCACCGTCCTTCCAGGGCATTCCAAGTTCGTATCTTCCTTCCTTGAATTTAAGTGTTCTCGAAACTTGTGTAGTCGCAGCTCTGCCTTCAGCAGTCATAGGATAGTCTGTTTGATCTTTGATGCCAATCGATTCTAACTCCCAGAATTGGCGAAGGACATCAATTGGTGGTTCCTGCTGGTTATCTTGATTATGGCATGATCGATACGTCCGTGTAAAATGCACCCGGACTCTTTCCGATGGTCTTCCACCAAGGTCGGCCCAAAGCAAACCCAGCCTAAATTTGTCAACCGAGCGATTGGGTCAGTTGGTTGGCTTCCACTCACATCTTTCAATACTAACAATGGATGATCGCTTCCTATCATCACATCAATTTGACAACGTTTCGACACTTGCTCAAACGGAACATCAATTAGATGAGACCATTTCTCCTTGATCTTGGACCATTGGATAGATGGCGTGTCACCAGCTATATTGTTTAGAACATGTGCTTGCAGAGAAGATGAAAATGACCCATCAATGCTACTCACCAACAGTTCAACACGACATGAACGTTGCTTGATTTCAGCTCCACCGGTTCCTGAAATGGTCAAATCGAGTGGCTGTCCTTGCAATCCAAGCTCTGCGGCTGCCTCTTCTGAGACATACAAACTCGTCGAACATGTATCTAACATGACATTCACCCGTATCGTTCTATTTCCATTGCTAATAACTGCTGGTAGAATCATAGCCTGCAAAAACAGCCTCTACTTTGCTGCTCCTATTAATATAACGTCGCACAAAGAAGAGTCTGCGATTCGAGTGACAACATTCCATACTGATGACGTTAGCGCGACCGGATTTTAGTCGCGCGTTTTGATTGGTTTATTCTATAATTTGATATAAATTATGCCAACACATGCAAATCGATTTTGAAATTCAAGATGGCCGGATATATAAAATGTATCCAAATAGAAGACATTTGCATATTGTTTATATAATTCAGTACCTAGAAATAGGTTTATCGTCAACAGAAAGGACTCGGTGTTAAACACTGCCTCGAAGCTATTCAACAACCTACCGAACAATTGGAAGTGTATACTAACGACTCGTTTTAGGGACATTGCCAGTGGGGATATAAATTTCTTGTACAGGACCTGCCTAAAACTTCTTGAGAAAAGATACAGAATTTTATCAAATTTAACAGAAGTTGAGAACAAGATCCAAGGACATTTTTCCACCAAGAGATCAAGTGAAACAGATCTTGTGTCTCCATCAAAGTTTATCGCACTCAGCGACGATGAGGAAGCGTGCATACCTATTCACTAATTCACACATTACAACCCAAAGCACACAAGTACTCCAGTCAAAGTTGTTCCACCTGTAAAAGTTTCGAAAATCAAAAAATCTTTTTCCGAATGCGAAACTGGCGTAAAGGTATGTTCGTGCGGAATTCAGCACATTTTTACATTATATTTTTATTACAATAGTGACACATATAAATATGTGATTATGTATTTAATATTTATTTATAATATAAAGGTCGATCCTCCCTCAGAAAAATATACATTGATATTTTTTTTTTTTTTAACTTTATAGCTTACAGTGAAATGGCCTTCTCAGACCAAAGAACGTACAATTCAATCTGATCTGGAACCCTTAGGCTGTGCCTTCCTTAGAGGGACATGGAAGGAAATTGTGTCAGCCGTATACCGTGTTAAAGAGATTAGATCAGAGCTCATCAAATGCATGTTGAAGCAACTGTCAGTAGAATGCTGTGATATTATTTCATCTAAAAGGCCATCCTTACTGAGAAAAACTACTGCGAGTGATATTCGTAAGCTGTCACTAGCCAATATATATGCCACGAAATGAAGGAGCGTTTGAGTTAGATGTGTTTTTTTTACACAAATTGGGCTGTTTACAATAATATACGTAATGTAAATAATACATGCAGGGCCGTACACAGGATTTCAAGGCTTCATGCTAGTTAAGAGAGCCCCCCTGTGGTAAGCACTGGAGGGAGGGGGGGCAAGGGGCACACCTTCCCCTTAGGCCTTACTCCCCCCCCCCCCTACGGCCCCTAGTGAACAAATCATGTGTACGGCCCTGTATGTATTATTTACAAATTTTACATTACGTATACTATTGTAAACAGCCCAATTTGTGTATACAAAAAACACATCTAACTCCAACGTTCCTTCATTTCGTGGCATATATTGGCTAGTGACAGCTTACGAATATCACTCGCAGTAGTTTTTCTCAGTAAGGATGGCCTTTTAGATGAAATAATATCACAACATTCTACTGACAGTTGCTTCAACATGCATTTGATGAGCTCTGATCTAATCTCTTTAACACGGTATACAGCTGACGCAATTTCCTTCCATGTCATAGACGGATTTTGTGGGGGTGTGCTACCCCCCAATATTAGCCATAACCCCCCCCTCCCCCCCAACAAAATGTCCACCCCTCCAAAAAAAATTTCAACCCCCCCCAATATTCGGCATAATAAAAAATAATTAAATGGTCCACTCCAACGTGCAGGGTGTTGATGATACAAAATAAACATAGGAGTACACTTCAACACTCTGAAACTAATCGCTCCTCGCTTGCATTCACTGGTTTATTGGAGCAATTGTAAAGTTTTGAAACTGTATTATCTCCCCTGAATAGAGTTTGCAGTGCCTTGTCATGCAAATAGCTTGCTTGCAAGGAACGTTTGGAATTTTTACGAACATTACTTTTAGTTTTTAATTCTTTTAGGAAATAGACTTGCCTAGATTTAATCTTTACACCCCAAATATTATTTACATCGGAGTTGCATCATAAATTGTACTCAGATTCAAACAACACAATGTCAATGACTTTATAAAAGTAAAAGCATATTGTGTATTGGCCTATTGGGTTTACACTTTTACAGGTTCATTTAACTCAACAGACAATCGGACATGCCAAATCCATTGATATGACAACTTCAAAAAACTTTTCTTCGAAGCTAGAAATCATGATTTTTTTCAAATTTTTCCGGGGATACTTTGTTTTCTGCTCTCTAGACTCCCCCTCGCTACTCTAGTGCTCCACCCCTAGAATATAGACCTTACTAGCGTTTGGTGACACATTGTGTTGCTTCAGTCACCTGCTCATGGAGTTCATGGCTCACCCCCCTAAATTTCTGGCACCACCCCAGTAAAAAATATGAAAATCCGTCTATGTTCCATGTCCCTCTAAGGAAGGCACAGCCTAAGGGTTCCAGTTCAGGTTGAATTGTACGTTCTTTGGTCTGAGAAGGCCATTTCACTGTAAGCTATAAAGTTTAAAAAAAAAAGATATGAATGTATATTTTTCTGAGGGAGGATCGACCTTTATATTATAAATAAATATTAAATACATAATCACATATTTATATGTGTCACTATTGTAGTAAAAATATAATGTAAAAATGTGCTGAATTCCGCACGAACATACCTTTATGCCAGTTTCGCATTCGGAAAAAGATTTTTTGATTTTCAAAACTTTTACAGGTGGAACAACTTTGACTGGAGTACTTGTGTGCTTTGGGTTGTAATGTGTGAATTAGTGAATAGGTATGCACGCTTCCTCATCGTCGCTGAGTGCGATAAACTTTGATGGAGACGCAAGATCTGTTTCACTTGATCTCTTGGTGGAAAAATGTCCTTGGATCTTGTTCTCAACTTCTGTTAAATTTGATAAAGTTTTAGATAAGTTTATCGCACTCAGCGACGATAAGTTTTAGGCAGGTCCTGCACAAGAAATTTATATCCCCACTGGCAATGTTCCTAAAATGAGTCGTTAGTGTACACTTCCAATTGTTCGGTAGGTTGTTGAATAGCTTCGAGGCAGTGTTTAACACCGAGTCCTTTCCGTTGATGATAAACCTATTTCTAGGTACTGAATTATATAAACATAATATGCAAATGTCTTCTATTTGGATACATTTTACATATCCGACCATCTTGAATCTCAAAATCGATTTGCATGTGTTGGCATAATTTATATCAAATTATAGAATAAACCAATCATAACGCGCGACCAAAATCTGGTCGCGCTAACGTCATCAGTATGGAATGTTGTCACTCGAATCACAGACTCTTCTTTATGCGACGTTATATTAATAGGAGCAGCAAAGTAGAGGCTGTTTTCGCAGGCTAGTAGAATCATCAACAAGATGCTATCTGAATTACTAGTTTTATATCCTCTCACCTGGGATGTTTCAGAACTAAGTCCCTTTTGACTAAATGAAGATGCTTCCGGTCGTAGCTGACTTTCACTTCCTGAAGATTGACCATCGACAATATTTGTTGCATTTCCTCGTTGCTCCGTATTTTGCCCTAATGATCCATGGCTAGGGGAACTTTCATGTAAATAACAGCTATGTCTGGTACTTTTGCAACCTGCGATACCACATGCTCGAACTTTCTTGCAGTCTCTGCTGTGGTGACCAGCTGCCAAGCATCCGTAACAACGGCCACTTTTGGTGATTAACTCTTTTCTCTGTGATACCTCAAGTGCTTTAAACAAAGGACAGACCCATGGAGGATGGTCTTGGTTGCATATGTCGACAATGGAATGCCTTGTTGCTGTTCTTGTGTTGTACCCTCGAGCTCGCTGTCTGTCTTGTCGAAAACCATTGTTCTTCTCATTTCTTAATGTGTTCTGCTTTCCCAATCCGTATGTCTCCTCCTTTGCCTCTTCCATTACTTGTACTCGAAGTTCCATCCACTCCAATAATGACTCAAAATTATCCTCCTGGGAGTGATCTAATAACCAATGTTTATAAGATTGAACATCTTCCTCTGTCAGCTTCTCCTTAGCAGTCAAATTAAGACTTTCCAATTGAAATGATCCAGTCCTGTGTAGCTAACGAAACTCGCTCCAAGACAGCTTGGAATTCTTCAAAGTCTTCTAGGTTGCGGGATCGAATCCTTTTCCAATTTTGTAGAGTTGTTAGGTGTTTAATTTGTTGTCTTCGCTGCCCACCGTATGTCTTTTCTAACTTCTCTTTTGCCCTTTCGTAGGCACTTGCTGAGTATCCAAGATCCTTGACTATCGTCAGTGCTTTCCCTGACAAACTACTCTGTAACCGAAGCATTTTTTCGCTCACTGGTATGTTCTGTCTGTCCACCATTGACATAAACGCTGCTTTCCAATGCTCGTATTCAGCTTTGTCATCTCCCAAGAATCTTGGTAGGCTCACTCCTTTTAGCTTTATAGGCAAAACCTTTTGAACAGGATCTCGGGTAACAGCAGGCAATACTGGAACTTGGTGGGATGAACCATTCTTTGTTAGAAATTCCTTAACAGTATCCAAATCGTTTGGACCAGAAAGTCGTTCAGCAACTGTGACTTTAGCTTTATTTATCTCAGCTATTTTCCGTGCTTCTTCTGTACGTTGCTTAGCCAATTCAACTTCTGCCATTAGCTTTTGTAGATCGTTCTCTTTTTGTGTCTGCTCTTCTTCCATCTGCAATAACTTATCATTGGCTTCTTTAACACTTTTTTCTAACTCTGATGGGGAACTGGATACTGGGGCATGCTGTGATTTACCCTTGGAAAATCCTTCTGAAAACCCTACAGATTCTAGTTCACCAACGGCTAAGCATTGTTTGTAGATTATTCTCTACAGCATCACACATATCGTCAACCGAATTTTGAATTTCTTCAAGCTCCCTGTCCAATGCTTCAATAAATGTCTCATTACCCTCAGCACTAACACAATAAATTTCTTTTATTGTAATTATAATTTTCTCAATTATGTTAATTTCTGTCTTTACCTTGTTTACTGCTCTACGCAAAGCACTTTTACTTGGTAAACAATCCCCAGACTTATTTTCAAAAAGCTCGGATAACTTCTTCTTTGCATTTGCCAATCGAATTTTTGCCGATTTCTTATTATTACATAATCCTTGAATTTTCTTGCTTTCGTGGCTAACACTGTCTTCTTTCAAACTATTTTCTTCGTCTTGTCCATTATTCTCTTCATTATTCTCACCACCATTAGTTTCTTCGTTCACTGTAACGCTGTCTTTCGATGTTTCTTAAACATTGTGAACCGACGCCATTTTGAATTATTAATCAGTAGCAAAAACACGATTTTCGAAACGAATTTTTCTCCCTTAAAGTCAAACGATCCGGCTCGAAAGGACCAAACTTGTTTCCCGATCTGAAACCGACACTTTATCGCCTGTTTTCTTGAAATAAAACCGTCTCTTATATACACAAATAACCACAAAAAGTCTGTCTAAAATTACAACGTGTTTGTAATATTTTTTCTAAAAAACAAAGTCTCCAGCGATCAACGAGCACAGCGGCTATAATATGTCATAAAACTTCGTGTAATAACATGGTAGCATGCCAAAAATGGCTTCCACTTCGGGACCTGCCGCGTATGAAAGCATAGCCCACTGCCGTGCTTTCGACTTGATATCCATTGCCAGCAAATATCTTTGAAATCTCTTAAGCCATTGTTCCCAACGTTGTGCTACAGCACTAACATCCATCTTAGGGTCAAACGGTGGCATGGGTTGTAGATTTCCAGCGCTCGCCACGATCAAATACCTTCACAAAATGGTACAAATACCGTATATATCAGATTGTCCGCCGATTTTTTATCTCACGTTTGAATCCTCACTTCTCGCAAACACCCAAAATGAATAACTCGTTCTTTAATATTAACCGGTAATGCATAAATTTACCCTCGTCACCAATGTTATATCTTCAAAATCGTTATTTATTTCAACATCCTAAAACATAAAACCTACACACATGTGCTCACTTCCAAAATCCCCAGACCCCCCTGATGCAACGGTCTGTACTTCATGTAACACCAACATAACACAGCTGAGCTCTGATGTTCACCAAAATTCATAAATTGTTAATGTGTTGTTTCATAAATGATTCATTCGGTGAATAAAAATGTCTTTATTATGTTCACCGAAATTCATGAAATGTTCATGTTTACTTTCATGGACAAGTTATGAATAAATCATCAATAAAAATATATATATTACGTTCACGAAAATGCATCAAAATTGCTGCAACTTTGTCAGTATTTGTTATTTTGAACAAACTCGTTTTTCCAAAATGCTTTTATAAGTGCCAGGAAACAAAGTATAACCATATTGTATTAAATACTTTTGTAAACAATGATTTGTATTTTATAATAATACTTTTTAAAAGCCCAGATAGAACGAGGATAAGAGTTGGCAGCAACAAATTATTACTGGGCATTAGCAAGCTCGAGATTGACAAAATAAAGGTTTAATTAGTGTTCCAAATGAGTTTTGACTTATATGGGTATCACTCACATGTGTTAAAATCATACAAAATGTTTTGAGTAAGACCATAAGCAGGATTGCCATATAAGACATACGGTTCTCTGTTGGGTTTGACTAATTGTTGCAGTAGCGGTAACAATCCACTGGTATTAAGCATGAAAGCGTTGTGTCTTCTTCCCTCAACAGGACCATGCAAATGGGCAATGAGTCCATTTGGGGTAACCACTGACTATGGTCAAAAGAAGGCAAGCAATTATTATCATGATTAGTTTTTATATTTTCTCAAAAATTATCTTGTTTGTCAAGTGCATGGAAATATTGCCCTCTAGTTTCTTCTTGCCTGAAACTTTATACAATGCACTCTTTTATGGCCACTAAACATTTTCTGATTGCAGATAGGTCTTGAAATTGGCTGCACTGTTTCATCAATAAATCCCCAGCACTGATTAAGGGGGGCACCTTTGTTGTGTATTGCATTTGCAAACTGCTGAGGATCAAGCCAGATATGGTTCAGAGACGATAGCAAGTGACCAAATCGGTCATAGATGTCATCCAAAATCTGAAAAAATATGTTTATTCAATGATATCCTGGTTGTCAGAGGTTCTTGTATTTCCTACGTATTTTTCTTGTAAGAATAACAGGGCGGGCAATACAAGAACGTCTGACAAACAGGGTAACTAATGCGTGATTAATATGAATAACATGGCTCGCAAGTACTTACTGCATTAAAGATCTGGCTCAGCTCAGGTTCAGCTCTTCCAAATAATCTGACAAGGTCAGACCAGCGATTTGGATATGCAAAGCATCTTAACAATAATATCATCAAGGCTTCCATACCCATAGGAACTGTTCCTTGTGAGCAAGCATATTTTTCTGGTAGATCCAGTGCAGCAAACAACCTATTCATATCGTCCTTCTGAAACCTGAATAAAGCAAATTTGTTTGCAACAGTGCTTGTTATTCAAACAAAAAACAGATTTTCCAACCTGAACATTGTTTCACAGTCGTCCTCGTTGATATCGTCCAAATGTAATTTTTTTCTAGTTGTTGTTTAGGATTAGTCATCTTCGTCATATGAATCCTCTGAACTGCTGCTAGTATCCATGTCGTAGAGAGCTACATCCAAAAGATCCCTAAAGTTTCTCCTGAAGTATATTTACAAGGCCAAAATACAAAAATAAATAATGATAACCTTTTAACAATAGCAAATATATATAAAAACATAACTACTCACTTTCTAGCACTCGCCATCTTGAATTTGGTCAAATTTTGCACCTGACTCCCATAAAGTTACACTGACGTGTAAATATGTACTTCAATCTTAATCAAAATAAAATGCCGAATCGCTAACTGCAGTCTCACGTCTGAAGTCAATATTAGCCAGGTCTCTTATGATTAATTAGCGTTACTGGAAAAATTAATTATATATTGCAAAGCATACTAAGCATAGTATCAAACATTAAAAGTCTTGCATGATATTTCCTTTACAGTGTCAATTCGTAATATTGTCTTAGTAATTAATTTGTGTATATTAGAACGAGATCTGGATCTGGTATATACATATCTAAGATCTGGTATACGTATCCAGTGAAATAGTAGCCAGGCTACATGATATATTACTATTTTTGTGTGCATTGGTGTTATATACTCAGGTGAATATGATGATTGTGATGTTACTCTTGAGTGTGCATCCAAACCGGTCAAGCTGAAAAATTTGGCTGACCATGGTGAGAATCGCAGGTTCGATTCCCACTGTTGTCAGCCAAACTTTTCAGCTTACCCGGTATGGATGCACACTCAGAGCATAGACAATCCAAAAGACATGTCTGTTGGATTGTCTATGCTCAGAATAACATCACAAACATAATATCACAAACATGATATTACTATAGTGAACAGGTATTCTGCAATACTTCCCTCTCTTCAATTGGTATGAGGTATAGTTTACCTCGCAATAACAGTTTTTGAGTATTTTCAGAACCAGAAAAACAAGTTTGTAGATTTGCTATGGCATCGCGAAGCAAATCGTCCATCTTTCTACACAAACAAGAACAACGCACAGTGGCGCCGTGGGTCCTATGTTTTAGGGGGGCCAAGGGCAGGATTTTTCCGACAAAGACTGTCATGTAATTTCTATTAAAATGTAATAGATTGTTGTGTTTCGTTGGGACATACTTTATATAAGAACAATATAATTTAACTATGACATAATACAAGAGCACGAGGGAGAATGTAAGGGGTCGAAAAGTAGCGTGTTCGCTTGGAAGGTTTATATGTTGAAGTGTTCATATAAAATGTAAAAATATCGGATTTATTGTACTGATTGTGAGCAACTGAATAAATAGAAAATACAACTTTGTGTGTATTATCAAACTTTCGCAACATAGTGGTGCTATTCGAACCGGATTTGTAAGAATTTGATTGTAAACATGTTGCTAATCGAAGAAATTCATGTAAACATGGACGATCTGTCGAAGAAATGCACAAGAGGAGGTCACAGATCATATGTAAACAAATTAATGTATTTGTGGAAACTGGCTACGAACAGGTTATTAGAGAGCTTCGGCAATTGAAAATAACATTACATGAAAGGAAAGATACTTTGGGGCAAATTGACGAACATATACTCGATTTACTTTGTGGGAACAAAGACGTATCTGATGAAGAAGTGTCGGCAGAAACCGAAGATGCTGGGAGATTCAACGCTAAAATGTTAGATGCTACATTGGCAATCGAGACAGCATTAAATACGACAGTAAAACAGACAGAAACAGTACCAACAACAAGCTCAACGTCATCGACAAGTCAAGTCAAAAATACAGAATCCGTGACACAAGCAAGTGGCATAACAGAGCCCATGACACAGGGAGCAAACATGGCAGAAGCCAGTGAACAAATTCAACAACAAGTGCCACAGATCAAGACGACAGCAACAGTGAGTGTAAATGAACAAGTAAGTCATGTAAAATTGCCTAAATTAGAGATTAAGAAATTTGATGGAAATTTGGCGAAATGGTGTGAATTTTGGGACAGTTATGAGTGTGCAATACACAAAAATGACAAACTGTCTGAAATTGATAAATTCTCATATTTGCGTGGCTTATTGGAGGGTCAAGCTTCCACTGCGATTGCCAGATTTGCCTTAACTGGGGTAAACTACAAGGAGGCTGTTGATTTGCTCAAAAGGCAGTATGGGAAAGACTCTGCTATTCAACGAACCCATATCAAAGAACTGATTAATATTGAACCTGCATTCAGTGAGAACGAAACAGGGTGGTTGAGAAAATTTTTTGATCAAACAGAGACTTATCACAGAGGAGTAAAGGCGTTGGGTGTTGATGAAACATCATACTCTAGCATTGTCGTTCCCTCATTGATTGAAAAGCTACCAAAAACTTTACGGCTAACACTAACCAGGGGAAGAAAGCATATGGAATGGTCTACTACAGAGTTCTTGCAAGCACTACTTGACGAAGTGGAGTTACGGGAAGCTCACCTGGAAATGAAGGACGAAACAAAGGAGAGAAAGCAGAGACGATATCCGGGTACTGCACATGCACTGCTAGAAAAATATGATGATGGGAAATGTCCATTCTGTCTCGAGAAGCACAAGGCAGAGGACTGTCAGAAAATCAAGGACATTAGTATACGTAAGAGTTTAATTCGTAAATATTTTAGGTGTTTTATGTGTCTGAAAAAAGGCCATAGAGCCATTGAATGCAAAAATTGTAAAAATGCATGTTCAAAATGTAATGATAATCATCATGTAGCCTTGTGTGAAGGTGTGTGTGAAGGTGTGTGTGAAGGAAGGAAATGTAAGAGATTCTAATGTAACAGCTGTAGTATCTAGTAGTAGAAGCATGCATGTAGGGACTGAGGACAGAGTAGTACTGCAGACAGCTCAGGGTATTGTGAAGGGTAGAAGGGAAAGTGGTGAACGAGTGCATGTGTTATTCGACACACGTAGCCATAGAACCGTTGTTAGTGCGAAGGTAGTAGACAAGGTTAGACCACAAGTTATCCGGCAAGATATGATGAATATTTGTACCTTTGGTAATAATTCGCAAGGTAGGAGCATGCGGGATGTGGTTGTGTTGGACGTGCTGCCAGTAAGTGGTGGTGACAGAATTAGGGTGGAGGTGTATGTGGTTGATGAAATTGCAAATGTTAAAAATGAGCTTTTGGAGGTTGCCAAATTGCAGTATGGTCATTTGAAGGATTTGTGGTTGTCAGATGTAAACAAAACCAGAAGAGAGGTTCAGCTACTGATTGGTGCTGACTTTATGTGGAGGTTTCAGATGGATTCCATCAAGAGAGGTGGTGTTGATGAACTGGTTGCCGTGGAAACAAGGTTAGGCTGGGTGTTGTCTGGGCCGATGAAGTGCAAGGAGGATAGCGTGAGAGAGTTGGACACTAATGTGAATTTGATTATCGAGGATAGAGGTGATAGTTTAGATAGGAATTTTAGTTGGCTGTGAGATTTGGAGATGATGGGGATTAAGGAGGAGGTTCAGGTAGAGTTCCTTGATAACATTTCCTTTACAGGGGAACGATATGAGGTCAGTCTGCTTTGGAATGTTGGACATCCGTCTCTGGCTACCAATTACATAAATAGTTTGTCTAGTCTAAAGTTGCTCCAGAAACGAATGATCAAAGAGCCAGACATACTCAAGGAATACAATTAGGTGATAAAAGACCAGGGACCGGTTGTTCAAAGGTGGGTTAGCACTAACCCTGGGTTAAAATTTAACCTGCTGTTTTAGTTTGTGTATTTCTGCACGTCTGTTTATTTCAAAACGTCAGAGAAGTAAACTCCTATCGATCCAGACAAGATCTCTGAAGAAATATTTCCAAAATTATAGACAAGCTGTCAGGAAGTTTGCTTTGAATTTTTGGTTAACCTAGGGTTAAGCTAACCCAGCTTTGAACAACCGGCCCCAGGTAAGTAAGGGAATTGTTGAAGTTGTCCCAGAACTTGAGGTTGCTGGAGACAAGGTACATTACCTACCTCACCAGGCTGTTGTGAGGCGCAATGTGCAAACAACTAAAGTTAGGGTGGTTTATGACGCTTCCTCCATGGCAGGGAAGGGAGGCGTGCGTTTAAATGATTTTCTTCATGTTGGGCCATCATTAAACCCATTACTTTTTGACGTGTTGATAAGGTTTAGATTGAACCATGTAGCATTAATAGGTGACATTGAGAAGGCCTTTTTAAATGTTGAAATAAGTTGGAAAGATAGAGATAGTCTAAGATTCCTTTGGTTTGAAGACCCCAGTTAGCTAGACTCGCACATGATTGTGTATAGGTTTTGTCGTGTAGTGTTTGGACTTAATGCTTCACCATTCCTACTCAACGCGACATTGAGACATCATTTCTTCAAGTATAAGGCTATAGACGAACCGTTTGTTAGGAAAATGCTTGAATCGTTTTACGTAGATGATTTGGTATCCGGTGAATCCGGCATATATGCTATATGAGAAGGCAAAGGATAGGTTAGCTAGTGGTGGGTTCAAGCTTCGGCAGTGGTTAAGTAACAATAAGATCTTATTAAAAAGAATAGAGATAAAGGAAGGCATAGACAGTGTAGAAGGGGAATCCGATCAAATAAGTTATGCGAAATCTACTTTAGGTGCTACAAGTAAATCTGGTGAACATAAAGTATTAGGACTTGCATGGGATAATGATAGGGACGTGATTAAATTTAGCTTTGATGTGGTACAAAGGGCAGTTGAATGGGTGGCAACTAGGCGAAATGTACTTCGTCTACTTGCAGGTATATTTGACCCGTTAGGCCTGATTAGTCCTATACTGGTTGAATTAAAGATACTCTTTCAAGAGTTGTGTGTTGCTGGCTTGGGTTGACAAATTTCACGGTATCTACAAACAAAAATGGAACAGTTGTCTTGGACAAATGGGTAAGGTTGGAGAAATTTGCATAAATAGATGTGTCAAGGTAAGTGGATGTGAGTTGGATGGTCATTGGCATCTCCATGGGTTCTCAGATGCAAGCAAGGCTGCATACAGTGCTGTTGTTTATCTTGTGTATAAGACCAGTATAGGCACAGAGGTAAGTATACTGGCAAGTAAATCTAGGGTTGCTCCTCTCAAAAAATTAAGCATACCACGATTGGAACTGATGGGAGCTTGGTTACTGCCGCAGTTGGTTGATTCTGTTAAGTGAGCAATGTGTAGCGAACAAGTTCTTGAGTGAGTAGTGTTGTGGACAGACAGTATTACAGTTCTGTATTGGCTTCAGAATAAGGGGGAATGGAAACAATTTGTTAAGCATCGTGTTGATGAAATTTTGCAATTAACTAAGGGTATGGTTTGGAGGCATTGTCCGGGACCTGACAACCCGGCTGACATAGGTTCACAGGGATGTAAGGCCTTGGAGTTGAAGGAATGTGATAAGCGGTGGTATGGTCCACAATGGTTAGGTAACACTGAAGAAGAATGGCCAAGATTCGATGTGTCGAGGACACAAGAGAGTAAAGAAGAGGAGAAAATGTCAAAGGTTACATGTATGTCTGTCAATGTTCTGCCTCAACGGGGAATTACAGGAATTGTGGATGTTAAAAGATTCAGTCAGTTGTCAAGGCTGTTGAAGGTAAGTGCTTGGGTTATGAGATTTATAACTAACATCAGAGCATCAGTCAATAAGATGGAAAAACGTGAAGGCGAGCTGGTTAGTGAAGAATTAGTGAACACAGAGGGTAAACTGATTAAGGCGGCGCAAGAGGAATTGCACAATCAAGATACCTTTCCACAGTTGGTGCAAAGGTTAGGAATTGTTAATGAGTAAGGCGTTTTACGGTGCAAAGGTAGATTAGGGAACTCGGAATTGGCTTATGAAGGTTGAGAGCCAATTATTCTTCCAAGGGCTGTCATGAACGGATCCATCACAGTGGAGTTAAGAGTACCTTAGCGGAGCTTTGTTCGAAATTCTGGGTCCCAAAGGGGCGCCAGACCGTCAAGAAGATTATAGGAAAGTGTCAAGTTTGCAAGAGAATGGAAGCTAAGGTTATTTCTTCTCCACCAATAGCACAGTTACCAGAGTTTAGAGTGCATCAGGCGGAGCCATTCTCAAGAACAGGTGTAGATTTTGCTGGTCCATTGTTTGTGAAGGAGAAAGATGGAGGGTTAGGTAAAGCATATATTGCACTATTTACATGTTGTGTTACAAGAGGATTGCACCTGGATTTAGTTGAAGATCTTTCTGCATCGGTATTTCGGAGATGTTTAAGGCGATTTATGGCCAAATAGTAGAAAAAAAAGTGGAGGTTTAATCTAGCACGTGCCCGGTGATGGGGAGGTTTTTTGAGCGGATGGTCGGCAGGATAAAGAGATGTTTACGGAAGGTTCTCGGTAATGCGAGATTGACAATGGATGAGTTGTTGACTGTGTTGTTAGAGGTTGAGGCCATCTCAACTGTATGCCGTTGACATATGAATATGAGAAACTTGGAGGGGAGATGTTGACACCCTCACATCTTATGCATGGTAGACGAATTATTTCAATGCCATGTTGGCCTGATAATGATGATGACGAGGACTGGGGCGAGGTAGATGTTGGGGCGAGATTTCGGTATTTGAGTACAAAACTGAAACACTTCTGGAATCGTTGGCACAGGGAGTATTTGTGTGATTTACGGGAGCATCACGATTGCAGGGGCAACAAGAGCAATGACAGGACAGTTAAGGTAGGTGAAGTGGGGATTGTCTCCGAAGAAGGTAAGAAGCGTGGCCAGTGGCGTACCGGTATTGTTGAGAAGTTAGTGGTTGGTCATGATAGGGTTGTGCATGGAGTGAAGATAAGGATGATCAAAGACCGGAAACCTAGTAGATTGCACAGACCATTACAAAGGTTAGTACCATTAGAAATCAGTTTAGATCAGGAAACAAAAGTGAAAGGGAAGGATGAAACCGAGGAGGTTAGGAAGACAGGGAGAGAGCAGTGGCGATTGATGCAGAATGGAAGAATAAATTAATGTTGACTCTGGATTGAGTCAAGGTGGGGAGTGTGTCATGTAATTTCTATTAAAATGTAATAGATTGTTGTGTTTCGTTGGGACATACTTTACGTAAGAACAGTATAATTTAACTATGACAGAGAATGTAAGGGGTCGAAAAGTAGAGTGTTCGCTTGGAAGGTTTATATGTTGAAGTGTTCATATACAATGTAAAAATATCGGATTGTACTGATTGTAAGCAACTGAATAAATAGAAAATACAACTTTGTGTGTATTATCGAACTTTCGCAACAAAGACTCGACATAGATAATATATGAAGTCATACGAAAATATTGATAAGTTTGATTCTTAGAAAAAATCGTGTGTGAAAAGGTAAAGTGAAATACCGGCTTTAAATATTGCACATTATTCATTAGCAGTTTGAAGAATTATGTTGTATATACGTAACTCGGTTTGCAAGACGAGGAACTTATGTAATTTGGTCGATCTGATATCAATACATAATATTATTACGTTTATATTTAAATCATGTCATGGCCATATTTAGTCTAGACTGCGGATATAGCTTTATTTATGAAAAAGACAAAATATTACGATAATATTTTAACAACTTAATTAATGTAAATTTTGGCTCTGGCACTGTCTGTTCAGCTTATTTAGTTAATATCACAACATATTTTGCAACAACGGCTTGTCTGCAAATGAGTTGATTACTTTCTCATAATCTAGAGTCTTTGTCAAGTCCCGTTCAACAATAATAAGCATTAATGAATTTAAACGCTTCTGTCCCATCATTGACCTGAGGTTGTTCACAGTTGGTGGAACCAATGGGAAGTGTTACCAGCGTCTTGTACATGGTATACAGTTCTGGAAATGCATCTGAGCTTTGGGTAAGTCTCTACGAACGAGATATACACTTCCTTCAGTTTTCTATCATTAAAGCCATAATTATGTGCAACATTTTGAAAAGCATCTGGTGGTAAATCCTTGCTGGAGTTCATATCTTGGAATCTCTCGGGATCAAGTAGGGAAAAGTTGGCAAGGATAGCTTTGTGCGACAAGAAGCGATCACTAATTGACACAATGGCTGTGTCAATGGCATAAACGAATGTTTCCTGACATTACTGACTGGATCTTCCTCGATTTCATCGTTAGATAACTCGCCAGGAAGTCGTTTCTTCTTTCTTGTGTGCTTCAAAGCAAAATCTTGCTCCAGTTCATGGTCCACACAAAACGTTTTAGCGAGGGCATGAACTTTGCTGAATTTCCCACGAAGCTGCTTGAGCTGTGATTCAGCAGTCTCAATTAATCAAATAGCAGTAAGTAAATCAATCTTTTCTGATTGTAGATAGAGAAGTAGGATCAGTTATAGAAAATATCTTGTTGAAAACATGTGCAGTTAGAACCGTCTCGATTGAGGTCAACTTTAGCTCCAGGGCTTCAGCGTCGGTGATGGTCTCGCTGCTCTGATTTCGATTGGCAATCTTTGAGGGTGTCGATAAAACATTCAAACAATTCTCCTTTATGTGCAAAGAAACATTTTCTAAAGCTTTCTGGTGGGACCACCACTTTGTCGTCGACACTCTTTGTGGTCAGTGAATTTGTTGAATATTGGATTCTTTTGCTTCTCCTCAAGAATGCCGAAGTTGTGAGAAGGCACACGATTTCTCCAACGCACCAAACAAAGATTTTGCCGCCAATGAGGAACCACAAGCCTCCATTATAACAAGATTCAGCACATGATCAAATGTCCAAATGAACAAACATTTTGGGTTGACCTGTTGAAAGAGAGTTTTCACTCCTTTGTACTTTCCTGTCATGACAGATGCACCATCATAGGATTGTCCGACGGCGTCATTGAAACCCAGACTACTCTCTTCTAAAATTTCTTGAAGAGTGTTAAATAATCCCTCGGCAGATGAGTCTTTCACCCGCTGAATGCTCACTAATCGCTCAACAATGTCCAAAGACTTATTTAAGTAACAGATAATAATCGACAGTTGATCTGCATGGGGGAACTGTCTGTAGTGCAATCATGGCAATACTGTACATTCCCACAGCGTTTATTTCACCAACAATGACTTTCTGGAGTTGATTTCCTATGCTGTTTATTATCTTGTTTTGTAAATCTGCACTCATAAATGAGACAAGATTTCCCCTGCCACTTCTTGACTTTTTGCCTTTCGTTTTTCCAATTGGTTTTCTTTTTCTCTTTAATTTTGAATTTCTCACTGCTCGTAAATGATTGGTTAGTGGTGCGTCCTATTTTGCAAGAAGATTGACCATGCTACGAAAGTTTCCTGTGCATGTTTCATCCAACACATCCTCCTCTGTGAATAAAGGTTGCTCATCCACTTCGCGATGCCCTCTGAATGCCATACCTTGCCGAGCTAAACATAGTGTTATGTCGGATCAGTGTTTTCATCACCTCTCTGTTCTTTCTAACCTTCTTGCCTTGCCGTCTCCACCTTTGAGGCTTCGTTAGAAAGTTGTTCATTGACGTGAATGTGGGAACAAAAATTAATAAAATCAACTGTTGCGTCAATATGACATTAAGATTTTTCGTGCTTTGCAAACTTCTCACTGGCCTCACAATAACCAATCTTTGTGAATGTTTGTTCCTTATTATTGCGACAAAAAAATGCAGAAGTGACAAAAAACTGCATCTTCTTTTGGTGAATATGACAGCCATTTTCTTTTAAAATTGTTTTTTCCAACCTTTATGTGGTACCAGCTTTCGTTGAAAGAACGATCATGAGAACCACATCTTGATTTGGGAAATTGTTTCTTGTTCATTTCATGTGCTTTTGGCTGAAACGGTCCTCGTGAAATCAATCACTTTCTTGTCGCAAGATCAAGCTTTTCTATACCGTGTATGTATAGGGCCGGATCGTTCATGTCTGTGTGGAATCCGCAATTTGATTCATTAGCCTCTATAGTTCCCCCTTGTTAGACACGTACAGAACTCAATTCTTCGCTGTTAATTTCACGACTTGTTTGGTTAGCCAATTGGTCTACAGTTTCCTCTGCTTCGACAGAATTCAATTCTTCTCTGTTAATTTTGCAATGTGCTTCCTTGGCAAATCTGTTGACTGTTTCTTCTACATCGATGGAATACAATGCCACTTCTGCACTAGCTGTATTGTTGTCAACCGAGTCAACAGACTCCTGAAATTTGGGACAAGCTGGCGGATTTTTGCTTTTGTCGGCTTTCTTGTAGCTATTACGACAACGCAGAGTAATGGTTATATACATTTACCACTGGGTTACAAAGGCTATGAAGGGATCGATCCGACTATCAATGAGGAGTGCATCTGTCTACGGAAAAAGTTGTTTTGCTTTGGTGATCACATACTAATCTGGGGAGAAGGTAAGGAAAATGGGCCCTTTGGCAGTTTTGCCCCACCACTGAAGAATCCTTAAAAAATGCACTGCATAATCATGTTCTATTTTACTGTATAAATACTTATCATTTATAGACCCAGAGCGAGGGGGATTCAGCGTAATATTTCCCGAAGTGATGATATTTTCCGAGGGGCTTTGCCCCGAGGAAAATATCATCATTGAGGGAAATATCGCCGAATCCGCTGAGCGGAGGGTCTATAAATGATATATTATACTGAACAAAAACCCATAAAATGCAGAGAAAATACATTTAATAAACAATGATAATTTACAACAACGTTAAAAATGCTTCAATCAAACTGAAATTCATAATTCATCCATGCAATGTTTAGCCAAAATAATTTATATTGATTGTGCAGCCTTCAAATTTATTGTTTTTAAATATATCCTTTGAAGTCAACAATACGGGAGAAAGGACTGTATTCATGACTTGGTTAAGCTGGGGAGTGGAGGGAATATCAATATCGTCGAGCAGTGCTAGTAATCTTTCAGGAGAAGTTAGACATTCGTTTGCTGGGACGGTATCAACTGTGTCAGCATTGTTAGTCATGGGCAACATCAATGCATTAGACATGTCTCTACTCTGATCTACAAACACGTTTTTGAAGAATATGATCTAATGCTGGCTTCATTCTTATGTCCTGAAATCACCATAATATGTCCTGCTTCATGGCCTATATATTAAAGTAATTTAGTAGAATATAAACAAAAACTTAAATTGAAAAAGTCTGTTTTTCCAGCATAAAAATACAAATGTACCTGCTTCGTCCAGTACTGTTACAGCAGTTGATCGTATTGAATGATTTGTGTATCGTTGAGACAACTGTCCTTGTCGTGAAATTTTACTCATCATTGTTCCTAGTGTATTTTTCCTGAGTAGAGCTTTGTAGTACCAACTTTCATTGTCGGGATAAAATGAATCAAGAGGTCTTTGCCACAGTGCCAGTATTCCTTTGTATAGTTTACTAAGGTACTTCAAGAATGATTCAACTGGGCAGGTAGGTTTTCCTGAAAAAATTTCCAAATGCCAGTAATCAATATTAGAACTGAACAAGCATTCATACAAAACAGAGAGATTTTATACAACATTCATAAACAAAACATATCTGCTTGCTCATACATTCACCCTTGTGATACAGCACCTGTTGTTAAATCACAAGGTTTTTATCAAGCTCACCAACTTTTTGAAATATGTATCGTTTTCCAGCGCTGTCAACTGTGAGTTCGAATGTTTCTTTTGTCATTGTTCTCAAATTTTCCTGCCCTCTTCTGCACCTGAAATACATAACTTTGAACCAAACTTTATTAAGCAATCCATTTGGCATGTGAATATCAAAAACAATCGTTCCAACCGCTGTAAAATTTGGCCATATCAACTTTCGTTATAGGTATGTGATGCTGTACTGTAGCGAGACCTTGACGACGTAAATCGGTGACTGAAGCTTTGAAAACCTTCGTACTACAAGTGAACGATCTGTCGTTGACAATATCAATGCCCAATCGGTCCAAATAATGTCTCCTTAGTCTGTTTCTTAATATTTGTAAAGCACTAGCTTTGTATTTGGTCCCGTCTTTCCTTTTTGCATTTGCAAAAAACTTTGCCAAGCTTTTATTGAGGCTTTCTATATTCTGCTTGGCTTTCTCAAAGTCTTCAATCTCGCCGTGGAAAGCACAAACTGCAAACTTTGTTGATTTTTTGGTGTTTTTTTGCATCTTTGTTTTCAAGTATATTTATTTCTTTGTCCGAGTCTTGCTCTCCCGCCATTTTCCATAGCTATGCTAAGTGTGTGTTGTCCACGCTTCACGCGTGAGCGTGGGATACTATAATATCCCACGGTGGATCTGCTGTGGGATATTATAGTATCCCATGCTGGATTGCAAAAATCATGAATTTGAGTGAAATACCGTAAAAAGTCATGGTGGTACAAATGCCGTTTTTTCATTGGACAATTTGAATTTGAGGTATAATATTGTTGTATGTCATGTATAAATAATCCGATGTATAGTCATGCATATGTTGTATTTTACAAGTTCTTCCAGTCGCGGGTCTGATTCAACTGCATGATTGCCCAACTGTTGGCAGACACACTTGGCCCTGATGATAGTAGTGACGATGATTGATTCGACAGCATGATTGCCCAACTGTTTGCCCAATTGATTTGCCCAATCATGCCCAAATCAATTGGGCATGATTGCCCAATTGATTCGACAGCATGATTGCCCAACTGTTGGCAGACACACTTGACCCTGATGATAGTAGTGATGATGATAGTGTTGCTGCTTCAGAAAAAGGGCAAACTTCTAAAGGTATTGAGAAAGTAGAAAAATTTTCACTCTGCAGACCGGCCGGAGCCTGAATTTCTAGCAGCCAGTTCGCGGGAAGAGACTTCCGAGTTCAGACTTTCGGTTACTGAACATTCTTATGACTTGAGTTCAAACTGAGCTGTAGTTACAGAGAGATTATTTTCATTCAGTATTTAGCTATTTACCATTTAAGCAAATCATGACAAGTGCATCTATGTCAAAACGGTAAGCTTAAATAATATAATTTCACAAGTACTCAGTCAGTTTTGTAAAGCATGTGTAGCAGTGCATGATCATTAAACATTTTCCTTTTTATGTTTCTTTGCATGTATTTTTGTATTAACAGTAGAAATTCTTGGTGTTGACGAACAGGTTCTCGAATATACATTTTCACATTTACAAGTTGGGCTGGAACATGAAGGGGTTGAAAAGGGAACATTTGATTCACAGTTGTTTTCATCAAGGCTATTCTTACAACGAAATTGTGTTTAGGCCAAAGTAAAAAATTCCCAATTTCTCATCAGACGTTTTTTAAAATGCAAATGCAGCGGGCTGTTTCTATTTTTATATTTTATATTAAACAACCAGTTATTTTTTAACAACAGAACTTAAATTGTTTAATAAAAACCACTATTCTACCATGTATATTTATCTAAAATATAGTATTTATAAAAAAAACATGAAGTTGGTGGCCATTTGCATAAAATATTACACTGCTGAAAACCCACCGCTATAAATATTTCATGTAATTGTTATTTCTAAAAAAAAAAAATGCGGCAGGGCTATTTCCTAATGCGTGCACTGATGAGAAACCAGGATTTTTTTACTTGGCCTTACATTGTTCAGAATTCATGGTATTTCAATGTGTGGTAGACAATTAAAAAGAATACTAGCTCGCTTAGGACTAAAGCAAATGTTTAGTCTTAATAATTGCTCACCTTTAGAAGAGATCTAGTTTCATATTAATCTAGATTAATATAAAACTAATTTGTCGTATCTCTGAGGATAGTTCTGAAATTTAGAAGAGATCGTTGAGACAATTTTAAAAGAAATTGAAAACAGTGGGCAGTGCATTGGGTGCTGATGTGGAGAAAATTGGTGTGCTGTTACAACTTAAATGATAAAAGAGATACTCTCCTTAATTTTCCGACCGTGTTCGAAAAGATTGTTTTAAGGAAGGGAACACCCTGACATTTAGCAAAGCCAGGGAAATGGCAAAAACCGATGAGTCGGCAGAAAGACAACTGCAATTAATGAATGCTAGTGAAGTAAATAACATTGCATCAATTAGGGACAAAAGATATCAAAACCGAAGAAATCAAGTTAGACATAACCCTAGGTCTGGGCAACAGTGTAGGAACTGCGGTCGGGGATCACATTCTCAAGATCAGTGTCCTGCCAAAAACATGACATGCCACTACTGTCAGAAAGTAGGACACTTTGCTAAAGTATGTTTGGCAAAGTTAAGGAATAAGAATGTACATGAAGTTGAAGCCCTTGCTGATAATATACAACAAAATCAGCTGCAATCACCTCGTGTGGGAGAGGAACAATTTGTATTCCTAGGACCAATTGTTGCCACACCTTTGGCTGCTCAAGTGCATAGTGTGTCATGCAAGGAGAAAGCATTATTAGAAGTTTCTATTTCCCTGAATAATGAAGGGATGCAATCGCATGTTGTATGCAAAATAGATTCTGGTGCCGAGACAAATATTTTGCCCATGTCCATATATCAACAGTTGAAACATGAATCACATAAGTTAGGAAAGCCTACAATGAAATTGACGGCTTATGGTGGGGCTGAACTACCAAACCTGGGATCATGCTTTGTCTTTGTAAAGGTACCGGATATCCAGAAATTATGGAAAATCCAGGTGCAAGTTGTTGATGTTAATGGCCCTATGATAATTGGCAATAAGTCTGCACAAAATTTGGGTCTCTTAAAGCTCAATTGGGCCATTTATGTTGGGAATCATGATAATAGCTTCAACAGACACATCAGTAACACCAGTGCCACCACCAGTAACCAACCCAGCAGTAACCATCAACCACCAGTATCAACAACCATGTCTCATCCACCATTATCGACCGCCAGACCACCACCTAAAGTATCGGCCAAGCAACTCAACAGTACAACTAGCCCCCTTGATGATAACCCTCCAGATGTGCGGGGGAAACGTCCTTTTCCACTAACCAAAGAGTATCTTTTAGAGGAGTACTCGGATGTGTTTACAGGAGTCGGTTGTTTTCCTGGAGATCCATACCATATTGAAATGATTCCTGATGCAGTTCCTGTACAACATGCCCCCAGACAAGTGCCAATTCAATTGCAAACACCATACAAAGATGAGCTGGACAAGTTAGTAGAGTCTGGGATTTTAAGCGAAGTCCAGAATGAATATACCCCATGGGTCAATTCAACCGTAGTTACACAAAAGCCCAATGGAACCATTCGCCTATGTTTGGATCCTCGCGATCTTAACAAAGTGATCAAGCGGAACCCATACTATGTCAGAACCATAGATGATGTCATACCAAAAGTCAGTGGTGCAACCCACTTCAGTATCCTAGATGCACGTTGTGGATATTGGCAAGTCGAACTCGACGAAGAGAGCAGTCGTCTGTGCACTTTCAACACCCCATGGGGCAAGTACAGATGGAACAGAGTCCCATTTGGACTCACCTGCAGTGGTGATATATTCCAAGAAAAGATGGATGCGACTTTTGGTAAATTAGATGGCTTAAGTGGGATTGCAGATGACACCTTCATCTATGGAAAGAATGAAGCTGAGCACGATCAACGCATAATCGACGTCCTTGAAACCGCAAGAAAGAACAATGTACGATTCAACCCAGATAAATTTCAGTTTAAAGTAGAAGAAGCATCGTTTTTTGGGCTAACGTGGACCCCTGGTGGAATTAAACCCGACGAACATAAGATCAAATCTATTAGAGACATGCCCAGCCCAAGTAATTTAACAGAGCTGCAATCGTTTTTGGGAATGGTGAACTACTTGAACAGATTTTCTCCAATCTTATCCCAGATATCATTGCCTTTGCGACAGATGACGAAAAAAGATGTACCATTTATGTGGCAACCAGAGCAGCAACAAGCTTTCCAAGAGTTGAAGCAAGTAATTACAGAAGCTCCAGTTCTATCCTATTACAATCCTGAGAAGAAAAATTTGATCCAGTCAGATGCAAGTTTAAAAGGAATTGGGTGTGTGTTGATGCAAGATGGTAAGCCAGTATGCTATGCAAGTCGGTCACTGAGCGAAACCGAGTCACGGTACAGCAATATTGAGCGAGAACTGTTGGCTGCCTGCTGGTCCCTGGAGAAATTTAATCATTATGTGTTTGGCAAGAAGGTGGTAATCGAGACAGACCACAAACCGTTAGAAAGCATATGGAAGAAGAGTATCACTAGTGCATCGCCTCGCCTACAGAGACTTCTCCTGAGAATGTCGAAGTATGATGTTGATCTACGATATATCGAGGGCAAGAAGAATGTAATCGCGGACGCCTTGTCCCGAGTCAGCTGCATGGAGCCACCTGTAGATGGAAATGAAGTGCCGTTGATAGAAATCAATGAAATTTCGAGTACATTACCAGCAAGTCCAACAAAATTGGACGAAATACGGGAGCAAACAAGACAAGATGCTACCTTGGATCACTTGAAAGAAGTTATACACCACGGATGGCCTGAGTATCCTAGCCAGTGTCCTTCTGACTTGAAGGAATTTTGGAACTTTCGCGAAGATCTTAGTGTTGAAAACGGCTTGGTACTGAAACGACATCGTCTTGTGATTCCAAGCAAACTCCGTCAACAGATGTTACAAATTGTGCATCAGGGCCATATGGGCACAGAGAAATGCCTTCTGAAGGCGAAAGACTGCTTGTTTTGGCCTGGGATTTCGAATGATATTAAGAAGATGACAACTACTTGTTCCACCTGTTTGCAATACTCGAAACAGCAATCGAAAGAACCGCTACACCCTCATAACGTTCCAAGTTTTCCCTGGCAAAAGGTTGGAACAGACCTTCTTGAGTACAAAGGAGCACAATACCTGCTGGTAGCAGATTATTACAGTAAATATCCAATTTTACGAAAGTTGAATGGAACGACATCAAATGCTGTCATCAACCAATTAAAGTCAATATTTGCAGAATATGGAATACCTGAAACGCTAGTATCAGACAATGGCCCACAATATAGCAGTCGAGAGTTTTCAACCTTCTGTAGCCATTGGGGCATTGGCCATAGTACAAGCTCACCACTGTATCCTCGAAGTAACGGTTTTGTAGAACGAATGGTTCAAACTGTAAAGAACTTACTATGCAAGTCGGAAGCTGCAGGTGAAGACCCATATCTTGCATTACTTACATATCGGACAACACCCGTAGACAACAACTTACCGTCACCAGCCAAGCTACTAAATCAACGAGAATATCGGACATTATTACCTTGTAGCGGAAGGCTACAACGATGCCAAACAACGCCAGCAAATCAAGAACAGCTTCAGCTGCGTCAAGATGTTCAGAAACGTCAGCATGATGTGAACTCTCCACGTGTGTTGTCTAAGCTGCTACCAGAGCAGAAAGTGGTGGTATTCCAGCCTCGAAAGAAAACGTGGACTCCAGGAAAGGTCATTCAAGAATCAAACAAGCCAAGATCGTATGTGGTTGAAACACCCAACGGGGGCGAAGTTCGACGTAACAGGATACACCTAAAACCTGTAAGCGAGGACGGCAGACAACCAGAAATAGACCATATGACGAGCGGGCAAGACTGTTCAAGTTCTAGTTTACAAGAAAAGATTCGTACCAGTGAACCTAACCTGGAAACAGCAAACAAAAGCAGAAAACCAGAAACAGACATATCAGGTGATGATCACCCTGTGACAACCAGAAGTGGCCGTATTATAAAGAAGCCAACTAGATTGAATTTATAAGACTGTATAAACTTTCGGACACGAAGGACCAAAACAAGAAAAAAAAATACTAAACTTAGTAGGTAATTTCGATAAATATATGTAATCATACTTTAGGGAAGAGATGTAATATTATTATAGGCATAATTTATGTTATAAATTATAGAGTAATTAGGTATTAATTATGGACACATCCGGGTAATGGATTACTATATAAACAAGAACGAACTTAGATATTAGGTTATATCAAAATACGTACACACTTGTATCGATCGAAAGTTAGTGATTAACAATACTTTTACAAGATCAATAGAGCAAAATTTAAACACGTTCACTCCTTTGCCGCCATGTTCCAAAAAACAACAAAATTTACTATTTTTTCGCAAAGCATCACGGTATTTTTGATCGCGAGTTTCTCAATTTTTAAAAAAATCTCCTCTTAAACATACTTACCCTACCAATGACGTCACACGTTGTGCTGAATCAGCAATTTATATTTTGCACATTTTTGCGTATAACTTCGGAACCAGACGAGACAGAATAGAGCAGTAAACGGCCAATCGGCTTATTTTTTCATGCTCTTTCAGATAAAACAATAAAACCCAAGCTCGGGCGGCCCTCACAATTGCCCTGGTTCAGGCTGTTGAGCTGCGTCGGAATTCCAACGCAGAGGCTTGGTCGCATATCATATGTATTGCTCCTTAAAAACATGGCGACCGCAATGAATGCAACTCTACGAGGAAGCCAAGAAGCAATATATTTTGCACTTGCAACAGCAAATAATACTTAAAGAAAGAGCAGAAAGAAGCTATTCGTCAAATAGTGAATGGAAGGGATGCTAAATCGTTGATATACCAACTTTTACCTTCCATGTTCGACTACATTAATTCGAGAAAAAAAATTCTGCCGTGTGGCCAGAAACAATTGTGATCGTGATTTCCCCGTAAAATGCACTGATGGGCGACCAAATAGAGAAGCTAAAAACTGACATGGGTGTTAAGGTAGTTGTTTTACGCCATGACGATCACGATCAAGAAATGAAAGGTGTGTATAAAAATATAAAATACTTCATTTTGTTATTGGTTAGCACTGTTTTCCATCCAGCAAACTGACCTGACGTCATTTTTGAAAGATAGAAGAGGTGTTAAATGGCTATGTAACTAACTCAAACCCCACCCCTACTGGGGTCGGCTATTTTGCGAGCTGCGAGTTGCGAGCTGCGAGTTGCGAGTCGCTAGCCTCGCTTTGAATTAGGCTTTGAAAGTATATTAATATGGACGACATGGAAGGCAAAGTCGAAGGGTTTTTTGTTTCATAAGTATTAATGACCTTCGAAGTTAAGTTCCCTGTAACTAAATTCGTTTCAACACGTTTTCCGTGCACTTTAAGCCGGTTTTCCACTTCAACCGTATCGTAGCGAAGCGTATTTCTTTGTTTCCTGAGCACTAGAGTGGAACTAATGACTTCGACACAAAAGACAATGCTACGATACGGTCGAGATGAAAATCGACCTTTACTTGTTTGTTTACTTTGTTAGATCCATCGGTACGTATGTTCAAGAATTAAAATAGTTATATTGAAAATAAAAGTGCAAGTTTTAAGTCGTTTTAATTAACTTTCAATTATAATTTTCATGTACAATTTGTGCATTTTTAATATGCTCGTACGATTACAATGCATTCTAAACTCCCAGAGGTAATGAAGTTTGGGTGTTAACAACAAAAAGGTGATTTCTAAAGTGTCACTTTTTTTAAGACACCCTGTATATTTCATAATACTAGAAAATACATGCATGCAGAAACCCTCGCCTTGCTGACAAAACCATTGTATTTTCCGAACATGATGTATCTAAAGTAGTTGTCATGGTAACGCGATAATTTTTTAAGAATATTCTTACAAATGAAAAATCGCCTAAAAATATCACTTTTAATTACAAAATTGTCAATTTCCCAACATATATATGTTAGGAATGTTATTATACGTAATATAAGCTTCAATTTAAGGTAAAATTCAACCACAAACACTTCGCAAAACGTTTTAAAGTGTTCTGTATAAAACTATTAAAACTGCCTTTAATTAAATGGCTTTATCGATAAACTTTCCCTGCTGACAGAGGTCTTTATTTGTCAAATTCTCGCATGCAAATAACTTCGCTTTATTTTTTATTTAAAAAATTCGCTATATTAAAAAAGGGAATCAATCAGATTAAAGATACACTGAAATTATATGCTGTCCTGTTCAGTTGCTTCATATATACGCAAAGGCCTTCGGGTTTTAAAGCAATTATAAAATCAATATTTAAAACAAACTTACCTTCGTTAACGTTGGCTCCCTTCTTTTAGCCGATTCTTTCGCCCTTTGAAATTCTTTCGCCCTTTGAAATTTACAAATCTTGCAAAAATGCGAGCAAATATGAAATATATTTGCAAGAAATTTATCAATCATCAAATCAAGAAATGTTTGCTATTTCGCTGTCGTCATGCAGTCGTTTAATGCAAACTTTAAATTGGACCAATCAGTGTCCGCTATTCATGACAGTTCGCCATATATTTGAGATCAGTGAGGATGACCACCCACGGTTGGTCACCCACGCCCGCGATATTTGCTGAACTTTAGACTCCGCTAATGCTTTCGTTTCCCCGGGTGTAAATAGCCGGGTGGAATTAGTACCCTCGCACGGCGCTTCGCGCCGTCGGCTCGGGGATAAAAGTCGAATTATATATATGCCGTCACCATGTTACTTTAACTTTATATTATTTCTTTATTTGACATTGATTCGGCTACTTGTTCCGAGTCTGCCTTGAAATGGTTAGTTAATGGCAGACAGGTTAACGTTAAAGGGTGCATGCATGATGCATCACTGTATATTCAATAGAGTCAAAACGACCCCAGAAAAGACCTAAAACGACTCCCAAATTGTTGTTGTTCGACTCTTTTGGGGACTTTTGACCCGCCTTAAAGTTCCTTCTATACTTGTAATTTTGCGTACCCTTTATACTGTACAAAGCCCGAATAAAACCCCTTCAATTAAAACTCGATCCAAGTCTACTTGAAACCCGTTATGTCAAATAGCGGGCCTCTGCATGCATGAGATTATAAATAGCTACTTCATATCAGGCAGGTATACGATCATATTTATCTACATTATACACAAATATATTTAATAGCTTATTACTGAATAATCACGTGTCAATGCTGTAGCGCATTGTATGTTGGCCAAACACGCCGACACATTCACACACATATCTCAGAGCATATGGGAGTCTCGCCTTTGACTGGAAAAGAACGCTGTATCTCATCAACCATGTCTAGCATACTCGTTCACAAACACATGCACAAACACCCAGTCTCGGCTTCTGATTTCAAAATCCTATCATTGCAGGCACTTCTGAGTGGGATCTTTTTATCCGTGAAAGCCTATTAATTTCTCAACTCTGCCCTTAATGCTAATATTAGTTCTACCCCTCTTGAGTTATTTTAGTTATGTTATAGTAACCTTAACTATATATATTATATGTAACCTAACATTAATCTTTACTAATTAACTAGTTACCGATAAGTTGTTTGCCTTTCTTTCTATTCATTTGTTCTTTCAAACTATGTAACCGTTTTTGTAATATTGAACCATTATTTTGTAAATATATA